GTGAGAACAAATTTCTGGAAGTAGAAATTCTTCGAACGTTTTCTACAAATTTGTTAATTACCCCACCAAGACCCGGTATCAACGGTTTTTAATACTAATTTCTTTGCATAGGGCCGGCTCTATTGGGCCAGCTACTCGGTATAACCATCCTTATGATGATTGTGTATGCCAAGTAGCGCGAAAAACATCCTTCTAATTTTTACAATGTTTAACGAAGGTCTTTCGGACTTCGCTAGTCGTTTCCTACTCTACTGCATAAGACGTTTTGCAAGAAGTTATTCAATTTATGATTATTTAGGTTATAAAACTGAGTGCAAAGTATTATCAATCATATTGAGAACTATACATATTATTTATCACTATTCCAATGATTATCCAAAGTTCAAGCTTGATATTATGTAGAAACATTTGGTCATATTCGAAATTTATATTTTCTAATTCTTAATAACTTAATTGCCGGAGATTTCCTTTATGCGATCGTTGTTTCAATAATACTCACCCCGTGAGTTCATTTAATAGAAACAAGCAAACAAAGAGAGATGGCATCGTTTGCATTGGTACAGAGATTTTGTTAACGTTTCTATGATATGCCAATGCCGAATGATGCCATGGAACCTTGCTTTATCTCAAATATAATACTTAGTTCAGGTTTGCAGAATTGCAAGAGCTCAGAATACGTTTTTAGTTGTTTGCTCTGGTTGCTTTTGTATTTATTTGAGAACTACACACAAATACAGATTGTGTTTATTTAATAGAATTGAAAACAATATCAAGAAAATTTTACAAATACCACTACAAAAGGAAATCAAAGATTCCCATTTGTGAAGTTGCCCAACATCGTTAAACACATTGGATGTGCCTGACGTACTAAAGTTCCCGCGTGAAGACGCACCACGCTTCTAATGAAGGGGAATTTGTCTTCGTTAATTTTCAAGCGCTGTAACATGTTGTTTGATAAATGTCGAAAAAAAGAGCATAGGAGTGGGTGAAAAAATCCATCAAATTTTTACGATGTTCAGCGAAGTAATTTCGGGTTTTTGCGAGACAGTTGAGGCTTTATTAACACGTAATAGTTAAGAAAGGTAGCAAATAGCCCACAACGTTTGTTTAAAATCGTCGACCAGGAAATTGTTGTTCTGATGTGGAAGGCGTGACATGGCATTGTTGTAATCATTATAAAATGGCATATGAAGTCGTCGTTTAGGTGTATTCCATGAATGTTTAGGACTACAAAAATTTATTTCTCTTATCAAAGTAGGAAATATGGTAGCAGATTTAAATTTGGGATCTTTTTAATATATACGCTCAAAACGTTTTATATGCTCCACGTGTTCGTCCTTGGTTGTATTCAAAATATTCAATTCATGGTCACGAAAAACAGTGTAAAGTCCAGAAACACAATCATCATGAGGATGGTTATACCGAGTAGCTGGCCCAATACAGCCGGCTCAATGCAAAACCATTTGTATCAAAAACCGTTGATACCGCTTCTTGGTGGGGTAATTAACAAATTTGTAGAAAACGTTCGAAGAATATCTACTTTCAGCACATTTGTTCTCACTAGCTAGTCATTTCCTTCTTTTTTTTTTCAAATACGCTTTGCAAGGACTGCTTCAATTTATGGCAGTTCTAGGATATAAAAATGTGAAGGGATTTCCCATCATTGTTCCCGCTAAATAAACATACGTCAGAGTTTTGCGAAAACTGCTTCAATTACCATTGTTTGGAAAATAAAAATTATAAAAAATATTTGTTTTTTAAAACTAAAAAAAACGTATTAATTCTCGCTTTTTCAATGATTACCCAATATTCAGGCTTGATAATATGTAGAAACGTTTGCTCATTGGCAGCTCAAATGTGAGAGTTTAGGATACTTATCTTGTTGTTTGCCCGGCTTGTTTTTGTATTTAATCAAGAACTACACACAAATACAAAGATTGTGTATAACGAAAAGAACATAGCAGTTGTGGTGCGAAAAAACATCCTTCTAATTTTTAAAGTGTTTAACGAAGGTCTTTCGGACTTAGACGGTAAAGTTCAGGCTTTAAAAACACCTCAATATTAGTGAATTGTCCGCCATGCCTCTCATGAATTCTATATTCTGATGTGGAATGCCGTGGCATGACAGTATGGTTGCCATGAAATTATGACACAAGAATTTTTGAATATATACGCGCAAAACGTTTTATAAGCCCAACCTGTTCGTTCTTGGTTGTATTCACAAAATTCAATGAACGCTTACGCAATGCAAAACAGTGTAAATTACAGGAACACAATCAGAATAAGAATGGTTATACCGAGTAGCTGGTCCAATAAAGCCGGCCCGATGCAGAGAAATTACTATTAAAAAATGTTGATACCGCATCTTCATGGGGTAATTAACTTATTTGCACAATCGTTCGTCCTTTTAGTTAAACTCAATAGTTAGTAATAGTTGACTTAATAGTTGGAATGCAAAGCAATTATTAACAAAACCTATTTTTCGTTGGGTAATTAATTAACAAATTTGTAGAAAACGTTCGGAGAAATTATCTTTCATCACAATTGTTCTCACTAGCTAGTCATTTCCTACTTTCTTTCAAATACGTTTTGCAAGAACTGCTTCAATTTATGACAGGATATGAAATTGGGTCTGAAGTATTTTCACTAATTGTTCCTGCTAGCTAAACACACGTCAGCGTTCGGCGAAAACGACTTCAAATACCATTGTTTGGAAAAATAAAATTAAATATGATAATTGTTTTAAGAAATATTAAAAGAAAGAAAGGTGAAATAAAAGAAATATCCGGCAAATGAAATATTGAGAATTAAAGCTTGAAACATTAGGTAATAATTGGAAAAGTGAGAGAATTCATACGTGTCCTTATTTATACTACGCAATTACATTTTATATATACAAACATATGAAGAAAGACTATATAATCTCAATACATCGAGCAAGGAACATCAGTTTGTTCGCTGGGTAAGAGGTAGCTTTTCGAAAGTTAAGAACAGGATTTTATTCCTCGTATACAACTATCGAAACTTTTGAAATGTGTATATCAGGTTGAAGTTAGGCGATTTCTTTTTTCGCATTTATCCGTATTTTAAATTTTATTATGAGTTCAGGTATTGTATATGCCAAGTGCCAAGTGAATATACCTTATTTTTCCATGCCTTCGTCTATTTGCATAATTTGATCTAAAGTAGCAGGAGAACAGAAAATAAATATCTCCAAATTGATACACACAATTCTAAAATGCCCATTCATCTACCTTCAATTCATACAACGCTTCAGAGGAGCCCCTCAAGCAAATCTCAATTTGAGCAGTCACTAGTAAGAAAAAAGTCAACTATTACATTGAAAGCAATGGACTCTTTTTGTACCCTAAACGTTGTCGTAAGATGTCGTAGGAATTGAAATTTTGAATGGTATATGTCAAAATATTGAAGTTTCCACTCAAAATCAAGTGAAAGATTTTTTTGTCTGTCAAAACTTAAAGTTACAAAGTTACGTACAAAGTTTAAATTATGCTTCAAACAAGCGACAATACGATTTTCTTACTAGATTTTTCAAAATATATCCTTTTTATTTAACTAGTTCATCTAGAGTTGAGAAAAACTGTTTGAACTTGCAACACTTATAAGTCATTATGAAAATATTTATAATATCGAGCATGTTGTCAGCTGCTGTAATGTTGATGTTATTTGATGGCACACACGGACAGCTGCTCCATTCGAATGGTTTGCAAAATTATATTTATTTAGTAAAGTTTTTGTATTATTTGACATACCCTTTAAAGTTTTACAATTTCCATCGTTTGTATTTATATTATCATGCAAACTACTTTTATGCGGAAAGAATGAGACAATAAAAAAACGGATTCACAAATCTTCGTTTCGATTGTTGGAGACATTATTCATTCTCATGTTTAAAATCGCTTTTTTTACCCATCTTCAACACAAATTGGACTCTAAGTTTTGTTAGTATGTCCTGAAGCAACGCTTTAACGAATTGATACAACACATATAACTTGCAGTGAAACTTCACTTCTATGCTATGATTTGAATAAATTGTTCCACAGAATATAGTAAAAGCATCATTTCAATATACCAAATCAGATGTAACTAAAATACCAATCACCATTTTCTGCATCGCGATATTTGGCTTGAATATTTGTGAATGTCACAGTTTTAAAATCTTTCTAATTTGATATTTTTGCAGGATGTAGAATTGACGAAGAATGTTCCTATGGTCAACAATGCGTACGACACCAATGTCATAACAAGAGTAAATATCTTAAAATACATAACAGAAGTTTAAATTCCTGATAATACTATCGTTCCTGATTTGATACAAATACCTAAATGTCATAACGAATCCATGATTAGCAAGCAGCATGCGGTCTACTGCTATGCTACATTTGAGTCAATAAACTCAGCTAACAACAAGTTTATTGTTGTATTTTATTTATTACTTTTTGAGTCAAGCAAGATTGATTCAAGTATTTTTTGCCCTTTTACACAACCATAACTTGAGTTGAAACTGTATTTTTGTCAGAAATTACTTGTGCGAGGCAAACTCGCAATGACCCATGTTTAGTTCATTAAACTGTCTTGATTGACTCAGTTTAGTGAATAATTTTAGGTTTTTTATTTTTATTATTTTCTGTTCAGAATGTGACAGCCAACAATGTGATCCTGGCCTAATTTGCGATCCACAACGATCAGAGTGCAAACGTAAATTTTAATTTTAACGTTCTGGGGGTTGAATATGTTCAAATATAAATTGTATAGAAAATCTTTCTTTTTCATAATAAATTTTTCAGTCCGAGAATTATTTCATTGTGCGGTATACATTTTTTTACATCGCATCACACAGACCAATCCAATCTTCAGACAATGGAACACTACTCAACATTATAATAATGGCCTCAATCCTCGTTCAAATTATCCATAGATTGAATCCATATCTAGTACAATAGCAATCGTGAATAGTTAAAACTGTAAATCACCACTTTTGATGAATGTGAATATGGGGATATTTGCTCTGAGAACTTGTGTCAATATAAAGGTAAATTTATATTATTTTGAAACAGAAATTTCAATTCATACAGATACCATCGTCCCTAATTCGAAAGAAATATTTAAATATTTGGTATCAAGAATCCATGGTTAGCAGCATGCAACTTTTATGCTTAATCGTTAATTGATAAACTCAACTACCAACATGTCTATTGTTTTATTGTACCTTTTGCTTTAGGAAGAAGTTTTATGAATTCGGCAATATTGAGCCAAGTCTACTTTGTTCTTATTAATTACACAACAATAACTAAAATCAAAAAAATTTATTTTTGTCAAAAATTACTCACGGGTGACAAACAATCAGTCAGATTGACTTATTCTACTACTTTACTTTGCCCAGTTTTGCAAGAAAACAATAAGTGGACAATCCGATGCAATTGATAGAAAATTGCTTTTTACAAAACGCCATACTATTAGTCTCAAATCTTGTTAAAATTGAAAACCGACCTCATTTTTTGTATAAAAGCAATCATGAATAGCTTAATCTGCCGATCACAATTTTAGCACTACGGCATTTGGTTTACCTGGTTGTTGTGATCGTATCATATTAAGTATATTTCTAAAATTTATTTAATTCAGGATGTACACTAAATCGAGATTGTGATAGAGGACAATTTTGCCAACAAGGCAATTGTAAAGATTCAGGTGAATTTATGATACTATGAAAAAGAAATTTTTATTCCAGCATTTACCATCGTCCCTCACTGAATACAAATTACTAATTGTCATTATGACTCCTTTGCTAGCAGCATGCGAACTACTTTTATGTGACAGAATTGTTTCATGAATTACTGCAAACAAGCTTAGTATTTTCTCGCAAATTTTTCTGTGTTTTTGAACCGAATTTAGGTCCGGTTTCGGCCTATTGGACGTAAATTAATTCAAGAAGATCAAACTCAATTTGTAGTCTATACAAGTAACCCTATGTGCATGTTGATCAGTTCTTTGTATCAAAATCGGATGATAAACTTAAATATTAACAAAATTATTGTCCATTTTTGTGTTTTTGTTTTAGAGGCAAATCTATATCCCACTTATTTTTGTCAATTTCAACACAAAATCTGAGCTGAGAGTCAAAACTGTATTTTTGTCATAAATTACTAATGCATGACTAAAATAATGAATATTCGAAATTATTGAAAGAGAATATTTTCTGAAATGCATTTATTTTTACAGATTATTACTGATGAACATGATTCTCTCAGCGTCTTGCAAAGAGAAAGAATCAATGCAAACAGAAAAAATAAATTTGCTGAGAAGTATGATATAATAAAGTGTGCTACAACAATAATGTTTGATAGTCTTTGTACGATTTGCATTCGGGTCATCTTTGAAGTCTTAGACAATCATAAAACAGCATTAGAAAAAACATACATCCTTTCAAGGGCGTAACCATAAATTTTCAAAGGGGTGGGAGGTCTGAGTCGGAACTTTTGCATTGCTGAGTTAGATTGTGACAGCTAAATTGCATACTGCTTCGGGATATTCAAGATGTGTTTAGTAATAAAGAAAGTATTGAATCAAAGTTCAAATATAGAAGTGCGAAAGTAGTACCTGGGGACTGCCATTAATGTGTCCAAACTCGAGTGAGAATAAGTGCAAAATGTGTGCGAATTGAAAACGAAAACCGCCATATTACTTGCACCCGGTGAATAGAGTTATGCCCAAATATTGAATCGGGATTTAATGATGACAAACCATGTGTATTTTAACATTTTTATTAATAAACGATTGATTTCTAAATGACTATAACCAACATGTGCTTGTCCATTCTTATACCAGCCGTTAGATTACTCAACATCCCAACATGTCGTGTTTCCTAAGACCAGTTAGTTAGTCACCAAGCCTTTCTTGTAGTTTCCACAGACTGGAACGATCTCCTATAATTGACCACGAGTAGTCAATCATAGAACGGTGCTGTAGAAGTGTATTGAATTATTATGTGAATATGGCAAGAAATATGTGGTTTGCTGATTAATTCAAATAGTTTGCTTATGGTTGGTAAAAGAAATATATAGAGTCTATAGCGTTAACGTATTTTTTTGACTTTAAAGCGGGAGCAAGCTTGGTCGAACTCATATATATTCGATATAGAATAAAGCAGGGTTCCATAGCATTATGTCGGCACTGTCATATCATGCAAACGTTAAGAAAATCCATATTTTCCAATGCGCACGATGCCATTTTATTTATTTGTTTTTTTAAGTTAAATGAACTCACGAATTTAGTTAAAACTAAAATAGTATTAAGGAAACAACGATTGCATAAAAAAAATCGCAGGCAAACGAAATATTGAAAATTAAGAATATAAATCTTTGATATGAGCAAACGTTTCTACATAATATCTAGCTTGAATATTGGGCAATCATTGAAGAATGGATAAATAATATGTGTCTATAGTTATATAAAACAAATATTCTAATCAATTTTATTTTCCAAAACAGTGATTTTTTAAGCAGTTTGACGTGTGTTCAGCTAGCGCGAATGCTTTACACTGAATTTTATATCCTAAAGCAATAATAAACTGAGGCAGTAGGAAACGACTATAGCTAACAATTGTGCTGGAAGTAGAAATTCCTCGAACGTATTCTACAAATTCGTTGACAACCCTTCGATGACGGGGTATTATTAACGGTTTTAGTTACTTATTGCTTTGCATTCAAACTATAGGTCAGCTACGCGGCATAGTCATCAATATTCAGCTGGTGTTTATGAACTATACTTTAATTTGCGTCAGCCTACATTAAATATTGTGAATAAACCCAATGACGAAAACGTCGTGCTTATTAAGTTTACGCGTGTGTATTCAAAAATCCCAAATTAAAAACTGCTTCCATATCTTCTGATTTGTTAAAAAAAGAGAGTAAATCGTTATCGTCTTGAGCATTCACGAGGTTTTACTACAATTGCGACTTCTCATGACATACTATAACGACTACCATGATGACACGCCACGGCATTCCATCGTAAAACAGAAATTGCCTACTGACATGGCGGGCTATTCACGAATATTAACATGTTAGTAAAGCCTCAACCTGTCCGTAAAAATCAGAAAGTCCTTCGCTAAACATCGTCAAACTCAAAGAATTGTTTTCGACTCAAAATAGAAGGCCTTGCTATGTTCTTTTTTCTAGAGATATCGGACATTTGCAAATCATGCAAAGCGAAAATTACAAATCGAAAATTAACGAAGCAAAATTGTTCCTCGTTTGAAGTGCGCTGATTTGACGATGTTTGGATGCTTCTTAAATGGAAATATTCAATTTCATTTTATCATGGTATCTTTAACATTTTTTTCATATTGTTTTTAATTCTGTTAATAATACACAATCTATGTATTTGTGTGTAATTTTTGGTTTGATACAAAAACAACCCGATCAAGCAACTAGACAGGTATTCTGATCTCTCGCATTTGAGCAGCTTGATCAAACTCTTATATTTAATTTAGGATGAAGCAAGGTTCCATAGTATCATGCCAACACTGTCACATCAGGGAAACGTTAACAAAAACTCTCTGTCTCAATGCACGCGATGGCATCATTATTTATTTGTTTGTTTCAATTAAATGGACTTACGGAGTTTATTTAATATTAAAATAATATTAAAGAAACAACAATCGCGTAAAAGAAATATGCAGCAAATAAAAATATAGCAAATTAGAAATATAAATCTTCAGTATGAGCGAATGTTCCTGCATACGAGGTGTGGCTAAAAATAAAGGACTATTGAATTTAGAATTTTATTTAGATGCATCTCGTACAATGTCCACATTGTCTAACACATATAAGTCTTAAGTCATCTCTACTTGTCCCTTTCGAAATATTCCTCATTGGCTTTGAGGTACTTTTTCATCCGTTTTGACCACGATTTGAAGCAGTATGAAAATTCCTCTTTTGTGATGGTTTTGTGGTGTCTCGTCACGCTGGTCTTAATATCCTTGACTCCTTGGAAGCGTGTCCTCTTGAGAAACTATTTCAGCTTTGGAAAACGACAGAAATCGCAAGGGGCAAAGTCCGGCAAATAAGATGGATGATGCAACGTGGTGATTCATTCCGATACCAAGAACTGTTTCACGCTGAGGTCTGTTTGGGCAGGATCATTGTCGTGAAGCAAGATCCAAGTATTTTCCTGCCCAGGAAGCTCTTCGTTTTTGACGGATTTTGTTGACAAGACGAGTAAGAACTTCCTCGTGAAAGTGTTGGTTGACTGTTTGACCTTGGAGAACAAACTCATGATGCACGTTGCATGCGGGCTTTCTTTGGTCTGGGCGAGGGAACACATTTTCACATGATTCTGTCGTTTTGTTTACGAATCATATTGAAAGACCCATGACTCGTCTCCTGTGATGATGTTTTCCAAGTCTGCTGTTTTTTGTCTGCTTCCATCTGCTAAAGGATGTCTCGGCATGCATTCAATCGTTGAGCCTTCGGCTCCTTAGTCAAGAGCCTTGGCACCATTTTGGCACACACCTTTTGCATGCCCAAAGTGTCCACCGGAATGGTGCGGAAAGTGGTGGGATTCCAATTTTTTGTCAGCCGGTTCCGTCACACAAATGTCATATTTTTCAGCCGGTCCTGTTTTTTTCAGTAATGCCAACCGGTTCGCTGATTTTATAAAATTCCGTGAGACGATTCTATAAAACCGGTGCAAACCGGCTGAATCCCACTACAGGGTACGGACCGTTCCTTTGTCCATCCCAACTTCGTCGGCAATGACGCGAATTTTTGACCGACGGTCACTGCAAACCAACTGCCGAACCTTTTCGATGTTGGTATCAGTTGTGGGAGTGCGAGGCCTCCCTGACTTCGGATCATCCTTCACATCCTCCCTGCCTTCCACAAATCGCTTGTGCCATTCAAAAACTCTTGTTCTGGACATGGAAGAATCTCCAAGCAACATCTTCAAAGTTTCAGTTGCTGTTTTTCTAAGTTTGACACAAAATTTAACGTTAATTCTTTGCTCAATCGTCATTCTGCAATTGAACCAACCCCATATTGCCAAAAAACTCAGATCTCGCACGGCAATTTTTTTCAACAAGCAATTAATTACATTAACTTATGGCTCCTAAAAAGCAAAAATAGTGCGATATTGTTTCAAAACAGCTGTTAAACAAAGACCACATGTTGCGCCACACTGAAAAAGTGTTGATTACTAAAGGTTAATCGTGTTGCACAATCTGTGACGTCAGTCGTTATGCTTCAAAAGCCGTTTTCTTGAGATTTAGGGGCAACGAATATGTGTTTTCGAATCCTGGCTGCTAATCAATGTAAAGTAGGTTCAATCAATTATTATTCGTTCCAAAATAAATTTGTAGTCTGAAATTTCCTCCTGGATTTTCGGATCTTTCTTGACAAGACACTCAAGTGCTTTTATCGGCCGTGGATCGAATACTTAAGATAACAAAAACAAAAAAAAACGTTATTCATCGAAAAAGTGGACTTTTTTCCCAAGTGACCTGTCTAATTGCGTCGACAGTTACATGGAAATTTCCGGATTCTTTCCGATTAAAAATCCCCTCCTTTGGTAATTCTGGCTGCATTCTTAAACGTATTTCAACCTATATATCTCATCGAACTTTCCCCTTTGGCATTTTGTGACAGTTTATTATGCAAATTATAAATAGATTGGTATTGGCCGTCAATTGAATACTTTGAGCAACTGAAAAATCATTACCCAATTAAAAGGGTCGGCTCTTTTAGTGATTGTCGTATTCGCGGCAACTGCTTCAAAAGCTGTTACGTGGAGATTTAGAGGCAATGAATATGTTTTTTTGAATCCTGGCTGCTAATCAATATGTAGTATATCCAATCAATTATTATTTAAACTAAAATAAATTTAACAGTCTGAGATTTTCTCGTGGATTTTTAGATCTTTCTCATGTGCAGCAATATATTGAAAACCGATATTTCGCAACAGGGATATATACCATGAGCACAAATAAATTAACATGACAAGACACTCGAAATGCTTTTATCTGATTGTATGGATCGAGTACTTATCATAACAGAAAAAACATTATTCATCGAGAAAGTGGGTTTTTTTCCCAAGTGACCTGTCTGTTTGCGTCGACAGTTACATGGAAATTTCCGGATTCTTCCCGAATAAAAACCTCCCCTCCATCTTTGGTAAATCTGCTTGCTCCCTTAAACGTATTTCAACCTATGAATCTCATCGAACCTTCCCCTTATGGCATTATCGTGTCTGGTCTCTTGCCAAACGTAGAAAATATGGACAGTAATCTTGCGGTATAATAGCCTGCTTCCGTATTTTTAAACTCTCATCAGTCAAATATCTATCCCAAGTATTGCCTACTATCTATCAATGGAAAATACAATTCAGCACGTAAACCTACAGAAACGATGTAGGAAACCATAAATATTTGAGGATATATCGCACATTATCCAACGACTTATATATTTGCACTCCTATCAAGGCCTTTCTAACGAGGCAATTTTATCCGCCTGCATTAATTCCCTAACGATTAACGATACGAAAGTAATATGATGCGTATTTGTAACTAAGAAGAGAAAATTAATATACAGCAAGCAATGCACAGAGTCAATTTCCGGAATTATTTAATTTATTAGAAATAATGCCGCGATGAGGTCGGTGTAGTATATGTTTAAGTTTGTGTTCAGAATTACTACTGTACGCAAATTTGCCAATCTTTAGACGGGTGATTTTGAATGGTAAAATCTTTGGATAATGTACAGTTGAACCACAACCAGCAAGCTTTTTTTTATTTCATGAAAAGCGGGAAGATAACTTCTCATGATTTATTTTCGCTCTATTAGATAATTCAAAATATGTTTAAACATGATATTTATTACTATGTTTACAGTATAAGAATTCTCAATGGAAACGTAATAAGCACGGCTGAGTCAAAAAGTAACGTATATTCGAAAATAGAAAGTGTTGCAAAATAAACCCAGAAAATTGATAATAAATATGTAGATTTTAACCGTACGGTAATTATAACCGTAGTTTATGTATTTTATATTTGATAACAGTTATAGATAACAAAATATTATTTTGAAACCCAATGGCTCGGGAATTAGAATATTTTTTTTTTCGATTTACGACGTATATAGATACTAAATTGTATAAATCTGTTGAAAAAAACTAACTTCCACAGGAAGTTACAGAATGGTCGCCACGTTAGCCTAACTTGAGACTCCAGATTTTGTACAAACCAGAACAATATTGCTAACACAGAGGAAGAGTCACCTGTGGGGCTTTTTAAAAGACATAGTTAATCAGAATTGGATCAAAACTATTGCTGAATTGAAATTGGTATACAATTACGCAGAACATTTTTGCAATAAAAAGAAAAGAATGTGCCATAGTACTTTAATAATGTCTGATACTGAGAATGGTGGTCATTTGGAGCATGTATTTAAATAAACCTTAAAATCTAGCTGAAGGTACAAACTTTCAGTACTCAATTGTTATTATATGAGCTCACAGAAAATGTTAACATTTTCAACGTCTTCTGTTTTGGTAATATATGGGTTTCATTTATTTTGGAAAATATTACAATGCCTTTCGGTAAAAATATAGCGAATTTTTGTTTGAATTTAAGATGAAGTGTATACGGATTGCTAAAATTGCATCTATTTGCCATGTCGTTTTAATATATAAATATTTTTGCCTATTAATTTTAAATCTTGTGCGAGATATACCAATGTACATTGATTGAACTCTACAGACGGTGGTTAAATGCTGAACCATGTATTCTGATATACATTATCTATTCTGACGCACAAATGACGTATGAGGTACCTATGAGGACAATACATGCTAGCACTACTTTTACTATTTCAAAAATCCGCAATATACTGCTGTACATCAGTTTACACAAGATCACAGCTTTATGATATCTATTTAATATGGATTAATTCAAATTTATCCGTATCTTGATTATATGATAATGATTTATAACAGTTGTTTTCAGCCCGGTTTTTGCGGCACCTCGGGGTACGGCACGTACACTCCAGTGGTTTATATTCAAATAGCAGAGTTTATATTGATTAATGTATAATTTCCAAATATTATCATATGTCTTTTAGGGTTGCCATTTATATAGTCTTTACATATCAGAGCAAAAGGGACAAACTATTCCAGTTGGTTTTTCTGCTCCGCTCCGCTCTACTAAAGAGTTTGAAAACCACTTATAGATAATATAAAGAAAGACTTCAATTTTAAAAATATCCCTTCATAATCGAGAATTCTGAGTTTTAGTGAATTCTAATTTTTTTATCTAGTGATTCATTAAAAGCGAACAGGATTCAACCATATTGAGATCTAAATTTTGGGAAAATTTGGCAGTGAAGTATGAATAACTATCACTCATGGACAGCCAATATAGCAGCTTGACATTTAGATTTTGCAAAATCTGTGTATGTTTCCAATTGGCGGGTATTTATGCGTATATTATGTAACTTGACGTTTTGACTCAACAAACACAACCCTTTTGTTTTCAACTATTTTGTCCTTGTTTACGCCATGTCATATTTTATCAGAATGTCCCCGAGAAATCTACCATTCAATAAACAAAATTCAAAACTTAAATGTAAAATATATAATTTTGTGAATTAGTTCAATTACTCGTTCATCATGTTTGTGTATTCAAATTATGATGATCTTTTCAAATAAAATTATCATAATAAACAACTCTGGGATCCTTAAAAATGACGATTCTTCATAGTCGAAAATTATTGCTGGCCGCACACTACCGAACTGTGTATATTCTGCCCAGTAGTAAATACCGTTTGCAGACAACTGATTTACACGATAATAAATGTATTCGCCAACAAAATTACATCGTGTACCCCAACCAGAAACGCTGTAAATATTTGTGGCAGAGTTCATACATGTTATTTAATTTCTTTATTTTTTCCAAAAGTTAAACTAAACATGTTCAAATGATAATTTAAAAGCAAGAACAAAATACGGCATTAAATCACGTTCATTGAGAATAAACCAATTTTACTAGTGCAATTAGGAAATATCCTAACACAATAGGGAATAACAATCTATCAATCTGCCATTTTATACAAAAAAATAGTTTATATACACTTTAATACAATACGATAAACGAAAATTTACACACAATTTCAAACTGTTGGATCATTATGAGTGGATGCATTTTTATTGTTTAACAAATAACATTTTGAAATATATGGACAGATATTAATGAGATAACTAATGGGATAACGAAATATCATAATACAAATGGGAATTTATATTAGGCTTTTTAGATTCGTAACAGAAACGAAAAAAGTACAAACGTTTTCAAACTGCTGGAACATTATCAATGAAAAAGATTGCATAGTTAAAGATATCTTCCCGATAGAAGTGGAAGTTGTCGCCGCCGTTGCGTTTTTGCCCCATTTTTTTTCATTCCTGTCGGTCCGTAAAAAGAGGGGCAATACCGCCCACTTTGTGACTCATTGTATTAGTACTTTTGCTGACAGGATGACAGACAGGTGACCAAATAAGAAAACTGTTGTTAACAAAATACAAATTTTTATATCAACCAATCTTATAAATAAAAATATCTTAACTCAATTGGGAAAAGCAAACTAACAAACTGCCGTTTTATACAATAAAACAGTTTATGCATTTGTAATAGAATACAAAAAACACACACATTTTCAAACTGCTGGAACATTGTCAGTGGAAGAATTATTATTGTTTAGGCTCAAGGGATAACATATTGAAAGTATATGGACAGATATATATATTATTTATATCATTTATTGCAAAATAGTATACCAATGGGATAACGGAATATCATAGGAAAAATAGGAATCTATAAAACTTTTATAGATTCGTAACAGAAACGATAAAAGTACGAAAGTTTTCAAACTGCTGAAACATAATCAGTGGAAAATATCAACATGGTTAGGAAAAAATTTTGAATAGGCATATTGTATAATGTCGAGGTCATTTTCCTTCTAAGGCTTCTTAGCGTCATATCTTTCTATATTCACTAATTTTATGTTCATTCCTGGTGATTTGATTTGTTTGAGTTTCATTCTCAGTCCTTTAACTGGGGATTCAAATATTTCTAAAACAAGAATGTTAAGTCAATAAACATGATATTGTTTGTTCATACTTGTGTCTTATTTTATCAAAATTTATTTGCATTTGATAAACTCAACTTTTTACATCACATCAACGAAAAAATATGATTCACTTACTTTCATCTTGTCCTATTTCGTCCCAATCAACATTCTTTAGCAGAAATTTTCTGAATGCATCCACAGAGCACTGGGTAGGAATGATACCAGGGCCTGCACATCGCAAGTCATTGTCATAGTAGAGCGCGCACAAATCTTCGTTGCATGTTTTTGTCTGTGTGTAATAAAACATACCTTCATCGGGTATCAAATATAAGATTTTATCCAACATTACACTTTTATGGACATCACATACGCGATTTCATCCATCCTGTACTACTACTAACAGTGCAATTTATTATCGTAATATGAATGATATCCAATACGTGACTCAGAATGGACAGTTTTCGAGTCATGTATCGTTCCCATAAATATTTTTATTCTGTGCAATCTTTAATATTTAGATGCCAATATAATTTTAATACTTTATTTGTCCATTTTTTTTTATTTGTGTTCCCGTTTGAAGGAAAACTTTTTGCTGAATAGTAAGATTTCTAAATGTAAATCGGTGCAACTGTTGATTTAATTTCATTCAAAAATCAATATAGGATATATCTCCATATGTTGCAAGTCAGATTACCTGATTTAAAAATGCATTCAACGTTCTTGTTGCATTGTTAAATGTCTTTGTTCGCATTTGAATACCAGGTGAACATGATGCTGAACACGGCGACCAGGAACTCCATATCAGACCTGAGCGGAAATTAGCAATTGGAACTTTAACAAACATTTACACAAAGCTATAGATCACTGCATCAGCATGAGGGTAATTTTGTGTTTGTTGTAGTTATGTTATTTTACTTGAACATATATTTTAGGCAAAATTTCTATCAGTTTATGACGTACTTGAATTGATGAGAGCAGTAATAATATCAGAAGAGCTTCCACGTAGTGCACTGAAATCCTGATAGGTAAATACTCTGTCGTTTCCCGTGCCACCGTTTGCGATATTTTGCAATTGGTTCAAAAACTTTTCGTAATGTCCAACTCCTACTGCAATCGTGTTAACCATATGTTTGTATTTATCATGCCTTAAAAATAAAGGATGTATCAGTGGTTAAAACAGCAATCTGCGTATGTTGATATAAAATTTTTTTAAGCAATTGCTCAAATTTACTAACTCAGCCTATTTACCATCACCCCTATATTTTGCCATCCCCCAACTAATTTTATCAAGGGTTAAAACATTTTGATATCTTAAAGAAACGTTCTTTAAGAGCAGATGTGACAAACCAACCCGCCAGAAAATTGTATGTTTGGCTTGTAGGGATATTAGTTAATCAGACCATATTTTTAACAGTTAGAAAAAAAGTATTATCGAATTAGCTCATTATTTCTGCTAAATTTAAAAAAAGCGATATGGTAAACAATTTTACGGTAAGTACCTAATTGGCCTTCATAAGAATCGCGTCAGCTCAAAAACAAGCCATCTTGCCCTCGACAAAAACTGGCCTGTAAAAGCCAGTTTTTAATTACCCTGAGAACTTGCATCAAACTAGATAATTGGTCACTTACGACTTATTAAATTGGTTTAGAATAATTGCGGGGATTAATTACGGAACTTTTACTTTATTTATTATAAAGGATACTACGTAAGAAGCCATCCCCTGAAGGCATGACATTCGTCTCGACCATCTTATATAAACAGTAAAATAACTCTCTAATATTCATTCACTGGACTGAACGTGCTATTATATTCTTCTGTGTGTCGTAGTAATACAACAGGTTACGGTTGGTTATTAGCTATTGATTCGTTGTCTGCTGGGTTAAGCTCCGCCATAACTGAGTCAGAGAGAATTGTGAGCTGGGTGAAACTCCATTTAACCGAGAGTTTGTGCTTTTAACCAAGCTAGATTTAGGATTTCTTTTAAGATAACAAGCATCCTAGAGGCTTGTCATACACAATCAGGGGCTGTACATAGAAAAGGGGAGCGCCAGTATTACTTTTATTGCGGGCAACGCTTGTTCCGATACATTTGTTTCGCTGGATCAAAATAACTATTGTCTTAACCTAGTTACCCTGTCTTATCTGCAGACGCATAGGGATTAATTAAAGATTACTTAGCGAATATATAAAGTATTTTGCGCAAGAGACACGGGCCATCCGAGAGTTATAACTCAATGATTAAATTAATGGGATATATTGGCGAAATGCCTACATTGTAAAAATCGGTTTATCGTAAAAGGATGGATTTGTTTATAATTTCTGTATCAGAAGGCTTGCGAAATATGGATCTTTTGTACGAAGCCGTCGCCACTAAAGTGCACCGAAAAAAACCATGTAACATACCAGCCACGAAGAAAAGCACCGTCATTAGCTTCGCCATCAGTTATAACGATAACTGCTTTCTTGGATGTTGCGTAACTATCAGATTTTGGAAATTCCACCTGTATAAAAATAAACATAGTGATTCACGGAACATAGCTATTGAAACAAACATTAATAGAAATCTGTGTAAAATGGTTGCAAGCATCAGGAAAAATATGATATTGGTATAATATTAAGCTAGCGATCTAAATTCTTTATATTAACATTGTCACAACCATACACCAACTAATCTCTGGCACAAATAAAATTGTCCTCGCTAGTCATTCATATGAAAAACATTAGAGTTTGTTTCTACGTTTTATTCTTCTATTAAACAACCCATCTCACCTCCATTACTCTCCGTAGTGCATAGTAAGTATAAGTTGCCCCATTCAAGTATGGCATGGTCATAATCAATGGTGTTAAAAAGGATGCATTATTCACGCGATATTGCAACGTATACGGAATAACAAACTTCTTTGAATCTTCAATCGATATCCTAGGAATAATTGCCATAGAATTGACAAAACCAAATTAGAACAATAGCGAACGTTAGACAAAAATTAGAGACATGAAAACTGAGCAAAATTACTTCTACGATAAATAATTTAGCTATTTCAATTAAACCAATAATTTTTCCATTTATTGAACTAATTAATTTGATTAAAATAGACGAGATTATCATACGAGAGTAATATTATCTGATATATTAGCAGTACAGTAAATGAACAAATTACCCGTCCCAGGGATTGTCCTTGTTTGCATATTGTAATACTTGAACACGAGCAGAGTCTCCAAAGACTTCATATATGTTTACTGTCTGGTTGATAAGCCATTCCCTCACTATCGTAAAGTTTGTTTCTCCAATTGATCCTGATCCATCGACTACAAAGATTATCTCAAGCAATAATTTCTGATCTAAAATATAAAAAAAAAATTTAGTATGCTTTAATGAATATTTTATATTGCTTGTTTTCATTACAATCGATCAGTATACTTCAGTAGTTTTTTCTATGAAAAATAATCCGGAATATTAAATTATAAAAAAAAAAATTTTCATGATCCCAATCGGTCAACAACAAACAATACTTAATAAAAGACATTCATTTTGACTGAACAGAATTAATCAAATATTATATTTTATTTGAAATTTTACTGCAGTCTATTATATTGAATAATGAAATATAACAATACCACAATTGGATGCGCAAATCCACTAGTGAAGCATTATTTTTAGAAACCAACAATTTCGTGATAAAACCACGAGTCACAACAACACGGGAAAATAAACTTTCTTAGCACTGTCATCATCAACTAGTGATATTAAAGAGTATTTTTTTACAAGATTTTGAGTCTATTTAGAGTCCAATGAGTCTTTCAAGAATTTTATTTTTAATATAATATGGCAATAACGCTTCGGTTCTTGATCTGTTCAATTATTAATTAGCAATTCGTGCAACATTTTATATTTCTTCCGCATCTGATGTTTTGAACAATGTCAAAAAAATATTCAAACGAACTCCCCAAAAGAGTCTTTGTTTTTTTTAGTTCAACATTTTTGTTGACTTTTCTTGAAAACTTCATATTGAATTATTCAACTGTTAGCATTGATTTTGTGCAATTGGTATTTGAAGCAATAGGCCAATGCAACCTGTGCATCAGATTTAATATCAACAATTATAAATACTCACCATTATAATGTTGTGTCAGAGAACCATCAAACGAAATGAGAAATAAAATTGGTACAAAGAGTAGTAGCATTGTCTTGAAAAAATCTTACAAACTGTTATTAAGATATAGAACAAAGATAAAAAAAGAATTAAAATTCTCTGACTGGTAGATTATCCTAAGGCAATGGCCACAAATATACACATCAGAATGGAAGGGTGCACATTCATCTAAAATGATGACATTTTTTTAACTGCCTCATAAATAATTTCTATCACATCTGTTATATTCTAATATACAGCATTTCACTAAAATATTTTTTGGAAGTATTGGCGCCGTTGACTAATGTAGCTATCTTCCATTGCTTGGTACCCTGTCTATTACTGTGCTATTTTCCTTGAACTCTTGACGCAATCTTGGTCATCATGAACGAATTATTGAGATTTGATTCCAATCAACTAACAACACACTCGGTATGTGGGCTGTTGAACAATTTCCTGTCAATACTCTGACTAAGCGAATCAAAACACAAAGTATAAGACTAAGACTTTAACGTTGCTATCTTGAAAATATTCTTGGATGCTATCATTGTAATATAGCGGGGTCAGTGTTGAAATAACTGAAAGTATATGTATAATTCCTAACATCACAATAACTCGAATCCAAACTAGATGAAATCTGGCAGTTTGCCAATTAAAATTTTAAAACAAAGAATTATGAAGAGACTCGTATTGGCCGCTAATTGAATACTTTTCGCAACTAAAAAATTATTACTCGATAAAAAGGGACGGCTCTTTCAGTGAGTGGCGTAATCGCAGCAACTGCCTCAAAAGCCGTTTCGTGGAGATTTAGAGTCGATGGATATGTATTTTTGAATCCTGGCAGCTAATCAATGTCAAGTAGCCTATGTTGAATCAGTTTTTATTTGTACTAAAATAAATTTAACAGATTTTCTAGTGGATTTTCGGATCTTTCTCACTACGATATCTTGAAAACCGATATTTTGCAACAGGGATATACCATAAGCACAATTAAATTAACATGATAAAACACTCAAAATGCTCATATCGGTCGTGGATCGAATACTTAACATACCAAAACAAAAAACATTATTCATCGAAAAAGTTTTTTTTTTCAGGCGACCAGTCTAATTGCGTCGATAGGTGCTTGGTAATTTAAAAGCCCCCCCTCCCCCTACTGGTAATTTTTTCTTTTATCCTTAAACGTATTTTAACCTATACATCTCATCGAATCTTTTCCTATGCAGCAATTCCATAAATGTCACGGAGCGACATTTCACACATTTAATCAATTTTACTATTTCAAGGTCTTGGTGGTTTGCTATTTTTAGAATGCCAATTGGTAGCAGTAACACTGATGTATTTACCATAATTCACTTTTCACTTTCAACCAAATATTTTTTAAACGACGAGACAAAACAAGTGATGTCACGGAGTGACAAAAAGTTGAATGCATAAAATGACTGCGATATATCAACCAAAATGACGTCACGGAGTGACAAAAATTCCTTATCATTAAAATGGTGTTAAGAATGTTGAACAATTAGTTGTATTAGATCAAAATTGGTTATTTGTTTGAAATTACAAAACATTTAAACAAAAAATTGGGATACATTATATTTTGTTGTCGTTCTGCTTGTGTCTCCCTCATATTAATATGCTAAACGAGTGCACTAACTTTAATAATCTATATAGTTAAGTAAAAAGCTATGTTGCACAGACAACATAAAACAAACATAATTATTACACTCCTATATATCTGGAATCTTATTGCAGTGACTTGGCAAAGTATGGGCAATTCAAAATACAGAATCTGGCGGATCCGTTAATGCAATTCAGTTTAAGAATCTTTGCACCATGCGACGATTTTTGTTATTTGGATATCTTATCTATTAACCATAGAAAAGCATTATCTTTTGCGTTGGAGTCTCTCTTGTTAGGTAGTACTTGCATCTGCTTGCAAAGTCCACATGGAAGCAGTGGGCCCCAAATACAATACTCTTAGTCTGCATATTCAGAACAAGAAGACAGCGATAAATATGTCCCTGCGAAAACTCGTTATTGCATTCTTTTTGCTTTTTCCAGCTTTATGATATAGTTGGCACGTAAAAATATTCATTGGTGACAATGAGTGACGCACTGGCTCTTTTCTAATTGGAAGTATCTTCAATTTTTGACAAACATATCATATTTCTTCACATTTCATGATTTTTCGCATCCTATGAGTTAACCCGATAAATGGATATAAACGAAAATCCAGATGTCGATGTTAAAACTTGAGATTTAATATTGTTTGTGAATTATTTGAATTCACTTACGCCTTTTACAAAAATGTCGTATTATATTTCAAAACGATGCATTTTGCCATATTTATTCTGCCATTCCAACAGATTACATATTTTTTCAATTGTACTCCACAATAAGTTCGTTCATATTGTTCAAAACCGGCACATGTTAGGTCAAATATTTTTGTCATCGATAGCTTTAAAAAAATTGCCATTGCCATTCAATCATGTCATTCAAGTTTCATTGTGGGTAAGATCCAAAGTAAGTAAAGGGCAAAGTGGAAGAATTTGCAGTTCAAACCCAATATTATAGTACTTCGCGTACAGAAAAATAATATTTTCCAAAAATGACATACTTATGTCACTCCGTGACGTCACGGAGTGACGAGATCTCTTGAAGTGCTGCGAAAGAACAACAAGCAACTATCAACTGCCAAATTGGTAAATTATTGGGCCCTACCCCCAAATTGACGTCTCAGTTTTTGAGGCAAATAGGTATTGTAATATATCAGATAATTAAAATAAAGTTAAAAAATTGTCACGGAGTGACGCGTCACGGAGTGACAACACAAGGCAAATTCCCATCAGCTCTGTTTAGCCCAGTGTTGCCAATAGTGTACAGTGCAATATTTATATCAAGCACAGATATCAGAGGTAAAACTTAACACATACTTTGGTTGAACAAATACATTTTAAGGTAACATAAATAGCATGAGAGCTTATGTTACAAAACTGAAGAAAATCATCAATTATTCCGCTGGAGAAAAAACAATTGTTTTGAGCCGTAAATGTACCTTCTCATGCGTTTTTAAAAACTTCAAGATATGTCCTACACTTTCTGCAGTTCAATATTTCAATTGGGCAAGATATAATTTTTACCAAATTTTCAACTAATTTATGGAATTGCTGTATGGCATTTCGTTTCTGGGTAATAGGCAAAATGCGGCGCTACACATATATGTGTACCAATGTTGAAGTAACTAACTTTGTTCGCATAATTTACATTAAGTTGGATTAAGGAACTGAAACTTATAGGCAGAAGGAATATTTATTTGGAAAACACAGTCAGACCCCGAACTTTTAATAGAAATAAAATTAGAAAAATCAGAATGAAATTATGGCATAACCCTCACCTGGTACACACACTACTTGAGTACCCAAAACTCAATGCCTCACATAAATATTTCGTAGTTTCTTGTACAAAGCCTCCGTCACAGAAAAAACAGCCGCCTGCACGCAAAATGAAAAATAGAAATACTTCAGTTACAGTGATAAGGTGAGGGCTAAGAATGCAGGTTTTGCCTGAAATTCAAATTCTCAAATCATTCCCAATCCTAACTCCAACTGGATAATTATTTATTTTCAACGTGGTCTTTTTGCAAGCTTTCGGATACAGAAAGTATAAAAAAAATTTTCCCGTGATGATTAACCTATTTTGTAAACGTAGTCATTTTTTCAAGATCTGCCATTTTTTATTCATTGAGCTGATGTTGTAAACTTTTTATTACTTTCAAATATCCCTTGTATTGTGCGCCGAAACATTACATTTTTACAAAGTCAGTTTACCTCCTTCTCCATTACATTTTATGCGTTTGCTAATCAGACAGCGTAACTATGCAAGGACAATGATAATTTTGAACCATTGTTTAAACTTTAAAGGTATCCATGAACCAACAAAAATAGATGTATTGGAAATATTGTTGTCCGGTAATATTAATAATACTGACGCTCTCATTTTCTTTCTACAGTCTTTAAACTGGATTATGACTTCCATCCAAACATACACTGAATCACCTGAATGCTTCGCAGGCTGCACGAAATTCTTTGGCGATATGCTGGCCGCAGTTTCGTCCTCTTTGGCCTTAAACGGTGATAATTTTTTAACTGCTTTATATAATTTTTTCTATCACATCTGTATTATTCTAATATACAGCATTTTATGAAAATGTTTTTTGAAAAATATTGGTGCCATTGACTAATAGAGCGTTCTTCTTATTGCTAGACACCTCGTTTTGCTATTTCCTTCGAACGCTGGGCTCAAACTTGATCACCAATTTTCACCGATTTTTTCAGATATGATTCCAGCCAACTAACAACACACTTGATATGTGGGCTGTTAAACAATTTCCTGTCATTATTTTGACTAAGCAAATCGAAACACAATATTGTTTTCTAATCGCACCAAGTACGTCTACGTTATTGTCAGACTTATACATTATAATCATATATATGTAAGCCAAAAAGATATTAAAATGTAGGTCAACCAGTTTATACCCTATCACAATTATCCTTTATTGCATTCTAGATTTTTAGAATTTATAGCTTCGTTAATATTCAATTGATATTGTAATATTGAAGTCATCAATTATTAAAAACGTGATATCAATAACGTAATAAGATAGAATAAGATATACTTTTAGGACATGGGTAGAATTAAAAATTTGAGTTTAAAACTTAAAATATAAATTGTATCACCAAATACCACGTGACTGGAAACGTATAGAAGTTAAATAATAAGTGAAACAGCAAACTGTTGCTTGATAAGGAGATTGATCGATTCCTGTTAACGCTTTGTATAGTAGTCTTTACCTTTGTATTTCTGATTCAATTAGTATTTATATGAAGAAAACAAAAAATTGCACAGATAATTGAATTGTTCTATAACATCAGACCAAATAAAAATTCCATATTTTTTGGCAATATTACAATAATTGAAGTTCAGGTTTATAATTTAATTTAAGTAAATCATAATATTTATAAGAATTTATTAGATTAATTACAACAAGTCTTTTTATAAAAGACCTTGACTAATCAAATGCTCTTGCCAAAAATACAAAATGGAGACAATAATCTTGCGGTATAAAAGCCTGCTTGCGTGTTTTTAACGCCTATTAGTCAAATATCTATCATAAGTATTGCTGACTATATATTAGTGTAAAATGAAATTCAGCACGTACACCTACAGAAACGAAGGAAACGATAAATGTCTGTGGATATATCGCATATTATTCAACGACTTATTTACTTGCACTCCTATCAAAGCATTTCGAACAAGGCAATTTTTTCCGCCTTCATTAATTTCGTAACAATTAACGATATGAAAGTAATTTGATGCGCATTTGAAATTAATTTGTACAAACCAGAACAATATTACTAACATATTGAACCAGGAAAAGGAAATTGATATACCACAAGCAATGCAGAGGCAATTTCTGGAATTAATTAAGAATAATGCCGCGATGGGGTCGATGTAGTATATGTTTAGGTTGTGTTTAGAATCACTATTTTACGAAAATTTGCCAATTCTTAGACGAGTTGATTTTAATGGTGAAATCGTTGGATAATGTATAACTGAACTAACTAGCATTACTTGAAAATAAAATGCTCTGAATGGAATTCTTGTGAATAGGGAAGTAACAAGAAATGCTGATTCAAAAAGTAATGAATATTAGAATGCCCTTTAGTGAAAATATATAGTGAACTTTTTTAATTTAAGAAAAGTATAAACGGAATTCTTAAATTACATCAATTTGCCATGCCGTTTAAATATACAATTAGTTTTTCTTATCAATCACAAATCTTGAGTGCGATATAGTAAGATATTGGAGATAAAATATGGAGGCCTACAAGTAGTGGCAATACATTGGAAGACTACACCACGTATTCTGAGACATTATCTACTGACGCACAATTGACGTCAATGAGCACAACACCAGTTATCACTGTTTCAGAAAGTCACAATATACTGCTGTACATCAGTACATCAGTTTCTGAGAGAAAAATACAAAATATTGCATTGAGTTTCCGCAGGCCACCAGTATGTTTCATTGAGTCTCCACTCTACCAAAAGGGTTGAAAACTACTGAATCATAGTTAATAAATATAAAGGGTTTTATTTGAAAATGATCCTTCATAAAAAATTATTTATGGTGGTCGGAGGTAAAATTTATAATAATAATAAGAAATTATACTTGATGATGTTATATTCGAGATTTTCTAGTTTTAGTTAATTTCCAAACTTTTTTTTTCGCGACCCCAATTTTCATAAAATCAAAGCCTATAGATCAGTGGTTCTTAAAGTATGGGTCGCGACCCAAACATGGGTCGCGGAAGGTTTAAAAATGGGTCGCGACAAGGTTGTCAATGCAAGGGCAATCTAAGAGGAGAAGGACGAATTTTCAGCTTTCCCAATGTTTCAATTTAGCTTCTAAACTCTGGTATTTAAAAATAATGAAATAAAAAATTTCATTCACGGAAAGAACTGTCTTGAGCTCATTGTTACATCACAATTCTGATATGCCAGTCACGTGTATTATTTTTATGGTATCGGTAACCATGCACGTCGCTTGTCGTTGTGTTGACCGCATGGAATGTCGTCTTAGTGGATTAAAATAACCAAAAATGGGTGTCTTTTTGGTAATGAAAATTGTAATAGACGACGCAATGAAAAAGCTCGCTTCTCGACATTAGATTATTCAATATCTAGAGAAAATGTGACTTCCTCTCGAGGCACCATTTACCGCAAACTAAGCAGTGCGTGCACATGTGACGAGTAAAAAGTTGTATATTGCGAGAGATACCGAAGGCCAGCTAGGATGTCGTGTTTGCGACGGACAGCGGACGCCTTTTCTGCTACAATTCGCGACAAGGCACTTGTGCGAGCGAGGATATTTGGCACTGACGGTTATCAAAACTAAGCTCGCAATCGCTTCGATACCCGTGACAACTTGCGTATTGCGTTAAGTAAAATATAGCTGTGTATTGAAGATATAATGAAAAAGGAAATTTCAGTTTCATCAATCTCACTTGAGTCAATGGACTGTTTCTAATAAATAGTTGTCTGTATTTTAGTCAAACTGTACTAACATTAAAAACACATTTTGCGGTATTTAGGATTGGGTCGCGAGTATTCATAAAACTCAGATTTGGGTCGCGCTCGAAAAAGTTTAAGAACCACTGCTATAGATACTAGCGACCCCACAACTAGAAATGTTCAGCAACTTCAAAATTCAGCATATCAGTTTAATTATCTCAATGTAAACAATGTACCTGTATATTGACTTCCAGTGGGCGTTGATGGTGAAATTTGTCCCAAAAAATATATGAACGAGTCCGGCAACGCGGCGAAAAAACGGGAAACTTCAGAAAATTTGATAATACATGGCATCGTATGAAAACCACGATATAAAAATAACGGTTATATCGGTTCTTTGGCAAAACATAGACGGACTTGTGTGGTAGATCGAAAGGAAGCTTACGATATTTCGGTAATAGTAAGATTGCTTCTAAATATACATAAATTTAAAGTCTTATTTAGAAAATTCCAACATCGTCTTTTTCGTTTTTCTTTGAATGTTAAGATATTACAGATTGCCCCCTTATTAATTCGAAAGTAAAACAGAGCATGAAAATAAAATAGAAAAAAACGTTCAAGGAATCACATCATTTAAGTGCTTTTTATTATGCTAGAACGGGGTGGTCCAAGGTTGCGAGGTTGAACGGCTGCAAAAACTTTTGAGGAGGTCTCCCGTTTGACCGCTTGAAACACTTTGCTTCACTTCGTTTGACTGCTTGATTTAACAAAGCGCTTTCGCAACTGATCGAAACCTAAAGTGTGATTTCTCGGCCAAGACACCGCTTGGAAATCAATACCATACTTGTCAAACACCTGATTATTTGAAGGATATTCGCAAAATAAAGCAAATATGCTTTGTATATTCTATAACCAAGCGGCTACACGAGTACAAAATAACAAACCAACATAATTTCTCGCAGCATGGCAAAAAATCCGGTTCGCGTACCAGCGGGTTGGGCACTGGTTTGCCTGCAGTTACTCATGAATGGAAAGAAAAGGACTAGAGTCAACTACTCATCCGGATGTAACATGATCAAAAAAGTTACAAAAATGGAAATATTATTGGCGCTCGTAACATTCTCACTTCATGGCATTTACCAATACCGGTATCTGTCGACCAGCTGGAAAGGTCAACTACCACATAAATGTTGTAAACGAGCAATTTTGGCACCGTTTGGACCATAAATTGTTGAGATATTGAATTGGAACTTTCCGACCAGAATAAATATCTCTTTCAAATCCTAGTCACTTGTGTACGCATGTTTGACAGGAAATAGGCGACCAGAAAAAATCTTCACGGCATCGACCCCAACCGGGGTCGCGACCTACAGTTTGGGAACCACTGATCTATGGTGATTCATCAAAGGCAAATATACTACTACTAAATATACAATAGTAACCAATCATTTTTAAATCTTTGTTTTGAAATAAATTTGGCAGTAAAGTATGAATAACTCACAGATAGGCCATTATAGCAGCTTGGCAATCAATTCTTTTTTGAGCAAATCTGCCAATATTGACAATTGATGCGTATATACTGAGTATATTATGTAACTTGAGGTTTTGACTCGAAAACACATTTGGGTGTTTTCAATTGTGTTTCGATTATTTTGCTCCTTTTCACAAATACACGTCATATATGTTCCAATATGTTCTCGAGCAGTTTACCACTTACTAAACAAAGATTAAAACTTAAGTATAAAACGCAATTCAAGAGTACTTCTGCAAACTGACACAAATGTATATATTTCTGTAACGTTTTGTCATACCAAAATCAGACTTCCTCAAACAAGCAGTTTACAATAACATCTACTGATAGTTAAATATAAATTATGCAATTTTATAAATAACTCCGATTACTCGATGTGTCTGTTTATTCAAATTTTGCTTGCCTTTTCAAATAGAATTTCCATAATAAACAACCTCAGGGCCTTAAAAATGATGCACGCACAAGAATTCAGACCAAATCAAATATATAATGGGCGGATTAGTAATTTGTACATTTATGATACTTGCGAAGACCGATAGATGTTTGAATATAAAGTTGATTAAAACAATTTTCAACTTGAATTTTGCAAAAAAAATATTGAAAATCTCGGGATCGTATCGAGAGCAAAAAAATGAACATTCACATCAGGGTTCGGCGAAGTGAGGTCCGTGGGCAAAGTGCGGACCGCATTTTTGATAAATAATGAAAAACAGTCTCGCGCATTGAAGCAGATGTCAAGCATAGAAATACCAGTTGCAGGTGCGTAATTCAGTTTAAGGTGGCGATTGTTCATAGGCGGAAATTTTTACGGGTCGCACACTACCGAAATATGTATATTTGGCTATAGGTAGTAAATACCGTTTGCAGACAACTGATTTACATGATACTGAATGTATTCGTCAACAGAATTACGTCATGAACCCCAATCAGAAAAGCTGTTAATATTTATGACAGAGTTCTTACATAATATTTAATATTTCTTTATTCCTTCCAAAAATTAAATCAAGCATATACACATGATTATTGAAAAACAAGAACAAAACCTCGCATTAAATTACATTCTTTAAAAAAAAAAATTTCATGCAAAGTAGTTTAATATTGCGATGAGGAAATATCATAACACAATTGAGAAAGACAATCTAGCAAACTGTCATTTTATACAATAAAATAGTTCATACATTTAAAAATAAACACAGTTTTAAGCTGCTGGAACATTGTAAGTGGATGCATTTTTATTGATTAGTGGATATTATGATGAAATATATAGATATATATGGACATATAATTTGTTGCAATATAGTTTACTAATGGGATAACGAAATGTCATAAGACAAATAGGAATCTAGTAATTTTTTCAAACGCGTAACAGAAACGAAAAAGGTATAATTGTTTTCAAACTGCAAACACATTGTCAGTAGAAAATATTACATGGTTATGAATAGCTGTTGAATGAGCTGTTTGTATACAACTTTATATTGGAGCCATGTTATGTCTAAGGCTTCACAGCGTCATATCTTCCTATATTCACAAATTTTATGTTCATTCCTGGTGATTTGATTTGTTTGAGTTTCATTCTCAGTCCTTTAACTGGTGAGTCGAATATTTCTGAAAACAAGAATAAAAATTTTATGAATCATTCCCATTGTTTATACTTCTATTTTCTTTTACTACTTTTAAATATTCTTTTTCACATTTGATGAATTTAACTGTTACATTGCATCAACGAAAACATAAAACATTTACTTTCATCTTGTCCTATTTCGTCCCAATTAACATTCTTCAGTAGAAATTTTCTGAATGCATCCATAGAGCACTGGGTAGGAATGATACCGGGACCCACACATCGCAAGTCATTATCATAGTAGAGCGCGCACAAATCTTCGTTGCATGTTTTTGTCTGTTTGTAATAAATCATACCTTTTATCAATATCAAATATGTGATTTCAGCAATGCAACTGTACTACTACTATTTTTTAACAGTGCAATTTGATATCATGATATAAATGATATATCATATGAATAGTAAGATTTCTAATTGTACATCGGCGACACTGTTGATTTAATTTCATTCAAAAAACCAATCTAGAATATCTCTTCATATATTTCAAATTGGTTTACCTGATTTACAATAACGCTTTCATTCAATGTTCTCGTTGCATTGCGGAAAGTAATTGTTCGCATCTGAATACCAGGTGAACACGATGTTGAACAAGATGACCATGAACTCCATATCGGATCTATGCAGATTTAAATAACTCTTAGACAAGAATAATTAACTATATGAGTATGAGGGTAAAGTCACAAATCTATCAACAAACAATTCACGATAGATATACTGACAAAATTGTAATCAAATTGCAGCATTTAATTTTTATATATTATTCAATATTATCTCATTTAAAGGTTTTTGTACTTATTCTATTTACAATTGTTTGTTGTAGTTATGTCGTTTCACCTCAAAGCAAAATTAATATCAGTAAATGACATAGGCTTACCTGTTAAATTAATGAGAACATTTATTAAGTCGGAGGAATTCCTTTGCATTCCAGTAAAACCACTCAAGGGAAATACCCTGTCGTTTCCCGTGCCACCGTTTGCGATATTTTGCAATTGGTTCAAAAACTTTTTGTATTGTCCAACTCCTATTGCAATCGAGGTCACCCTATCTTTGTATTTATCATGCCTTAAATAAAGAATGAATCAGTGGTTAAAACTGTAGTCGGCGTATGTTAATATGACATTTTAAAACTATTGCTAAAATATCCTAACTCGGTCCTCTTTTTTATTCTATTTTAGATTTTGCCATCCTCAAACTCATTTTATCAGAGATTAAAAATTATAATTTAACGAAACGGTATTTGAGAGCTGTGGTTCTCCAACACCTGTCCTTTGACCGGCGCTCCTAAAACTCATTTTATCAGGGATTAAAAATTATAATTTAACGAAACGGTATTTGAGAGCTGTGGTTCTCCGACACCTGCCCTTTGACCGGCGCCGGCCCGCGTCAACCTTTTTGCCCGTTTGCTGATATATTACAATATCATGTCTCGATTGCAATTGCAAGGCAATGATTAGCTGTCCATTTATTTTTTGAGATTAATCTTACCTGCTATTGATGAGTAAACCAAAGTCAGAGGTGCATGTCTATTTCAAGCCCTGAACGGCTGGATCCCATTTCAAAAGTTTTGATTATCGCTTGGAAAAAAATTCTGAGTTCAGTGCCAAAGCCATTGAATTATTGCTGATGTTTAGTACAAGTTACTCATATAAGAAAATCTTTTTATTTTTATCTCTTGACAAGACCAAACAGATGAATTGTGGGGAACTCAACGCTCTACTTCGTCATTACATCATTCGCGTTGCGCTAATTGCAAATCGAAACGTATTGTTTTACAACAAGGTTACTGACAGGTTTCATTCACAGCAGTGTATTGGATAATTATGAGTCACATCAACAGAAAATATCTCTTCTCGCGTTAATTCAGGGCGACCATTCCTCATATTGAACAAGAGTGCTACGCTCAAATACATGGACACGTCACAGGGTGACGCTCTTTTTTATTCTGACAAAAACACAAAATGAATTTCTGGAAGTCCACAGAATTTTTGAAATGAATAAAACTAATAGCTTTCTGGCTTAAAAATTAATCTTTAACCCCTGAAAATTTCAAAGCAATTGGTCCAGTATTCGAAAATGAAAAACGATTTTATGGTGACGAAGAAGAATAATACCAACAAGAACAACAACATAATATTGAAACGATCTTTATGTACACTGACGTGTCCAATAATGAAATGAACACATTCTGTTCTTGACGGGCACGATCGGTAGTTTTCATTGGCAAATAGAAAAACCCGAATCGTGAGAGCGCCTATTCGCGCTGACTTTAGTACAAAAACCTATGGTATATATTTCAGATGATCTATTCAAACAATATGAAAAACTAATAATCCTCAGCCTAAAACAAAAAACAGGAACGAAATAGTCCAAGTTCCACATTTTTCAACTTTTGGAAATTAAATTGTGACCTACTTAGAAAGTTACAAACAGAAAAATGCAATCATAATAATCTATTTTGCTGGTTCTATCTACAAAGATGGAAAGACTAAATTTTAATCGACCGAAATTTGAGCTGAAACTGATTTAGCTGCAGTTCTCTAAGATTGTGGTAAAACAAATAGATTAAATGTGGAAGTCATTAATTTGCGAGAGATGTTCAATTCACATTTGACGAATTTGTTCTTCAGTATAATGAATGATAGAATATATCATCTCAATTAACTTATGTTAGCGCTAGTTTATTTAATATCAAACACAACCATGTAACATACCAGCCACGAAGAAAAGCACCGTCATTCGCTTCGCCATCAGTCACAACAATCACTGCTTTCTTGGAAATGTTAAAACTAGGAGATTTTGGAAATTCCACCTGAATATAAATATGCCATAGAAGGTTTCGTTAAACAGATCAGTATTTTTGACGTCATTATTCTCGGAATGAACAGTTTGTAACTTGAGGTGTGATGGCAAAAACAACGCGTATTAATTTTGAAAAAATATGTCACAAAAATAAGAACGCTAGACGATGGTTCAAACACTGTTTAAAAACGAAGGACTAATATAAATTGAATAAACGCCTTTTAAAATGTTTGCAATATGATGCAGAAAAATATAATATTGGTAAAATATTGAGCTAGCAATGTTATTGTAAATACTTTAAATTAACATAGTTACAACCTTACATCTACTAATATCCGGCACCAATAAAATCGTCCTTACTACTTATTGATATGAGACACACCCGAATTTGTTTCTACATTTTGTTCTTCATTGCACAACCCATCTCACCTCCATTACTCTCCGTAGTGCATAGTAAAGATAAGTTGCCGAATTCAAGTATGGCATGTTCATAATCCTTGGTGTGAAACATGATGCATTATTCACGCATTCTCCGAGCACAAACGGGATAAAAAACTTTTTCGAATCTTCAATGAAAATCCTAAGAATATTTGCCATGGAATTAATCAAATCAAATTAGAACCAAAGCTAACGTTAACATCAATCAAAATTTATTTTATATTAATATTTATTTCGGTATTTTGAATTCATCACCATTTATACTATTCAAAATATCAGTTAATTTAATAGGTTTAAATTGCACGAGAATATTAAATATGAAAGTGACATTATCCGATATATAAATGATATATATATTGTATTTCATATTACCCGTCCCAAAGATTGTCCTTGTTTGAAAATTGTAATACTTCAACATGTGCAGAGTCTCCAAAAGCTTCATATATTTTTACTGTTTGGTTCACAACTCATTCCCTTACTATTGAAAAGTTTGATTTTCCGATTGATCCTGATCCATCGACTACAAAGATTATTTCAAGCAATGATTTCTGATCTAAAATTAGAAATAAAAACCAAAAAAATATGCTATAATTCGCACTTCTGGTTTTTATGTCCAATGCTTGCTATGAATTTTATTTTTAATTATAAAATTTTAATAATACTTTGGTTTCTCGATCTACCTAAACATTTTTACAAAATCTTGAAATCTGTTATTTGTTTTTACACAAAATTTTACTCGATGAAACTATGCAACAGTTCATATTTAATCCCCACAATTTTTTTAATAATCTAGAAAAAATAATCACACAAACCTTTCAAAAGCATCTTTGTTTTATTTAGTTTTACATTTTGTTGACTTTTCTCGAAAACTTGATATTAAATAATCTATTTTGCTGGTTCTATCTACAAAGATGGAAAGACTAAATTTTAATCGACCGAAATTTGAGCTGAAACTGATTTAGCTGCAGTTCTCTAAGATTGTGGTAAAACAAATAGATTAAATGTGGAAGTCATTAATTTGCGACAGATGTTCAATTCACATTTGACGAATTTGTTCTTCAGTATAATGAATGATAGAATATATCATCTCAATTAACTTATGTTAGCGCTAGTTTATTTAATATCAAACACAACCATGTAACATACCAGCCACGAAGAAAAGCACCGTCATTCGCTTCGCCATCAGTCACAACAATCACTGCTTTCTTGGAAATGTTAAAACTAGGAGATTTTGGAAATTCCACCTGAATATAAATATGCCATAGAAGGTTTCGTTAAACAGATCAGTATTTTTGACGTCATTATTCTCGGAATGAACAGTTTGTAACTTGAGGTGTGATGGCAAAAACAACGCGTATTAATTTTGAAAAAATATGTCACAAAAATAAGAACGCTAGACGATGGTTCAAACACTGTTTAAAAACGAAGGACTAATATAAATTGAATAAACGCCTTTTAAAATGTTTGCAATATGATGCAGAAAAATATAATATTGGTAAAATATTGAGCTAGCAATGTTATTGTAAATACTTTAAATTAACATAGTTACAACCTTACATCTACTAATATCCGGCACCAATAAAATCGTCCTTACTACTTATTGATATGAGACACACCCGAATTTGTTTCTACATTTTGTTCTTCATTGCACAACCCATCTCACCTCCATTACTCTCCGTAGTGCATAGTAAAGATAAGTTGCCGAATTCAAGTATGGCATGTTCATAATCCTTGGTGTGAAACATGATGCATTATTCACGCATTCTCCGAGCACAAACGGGATAAAAAACTTTTTCGAATCTTCAATGAAAATCCTAAGAATATTTGCCATGGAATTAATCAAATCAAATTAGAACCAAAGCTAACGTTAACATCAATCAAAATTTATTTTATATTAATATTTATTTCGGTATTTTGAATTCATCACCATTTATACTATTCAAAATATCAGTTAATTTAATAGGTTTAAATTGCACGAGAATATTAAATATGAAAGTGACATTATCCGATATATAAATGATATATATATTGTATTTCATATTACCCGTCCCAAAGATTGTCCTTGTTTGAAAATTGTAATACTTCAACATGTGCAGAGTCTCCAAAAGCTTCATATATTTTTACTGTTTGGTTCACAACCCATTCCCTTACTATTGAAAAGTTTGATTTTCCGATTGATCCTGATCCATCGACTACAAAGATTATTTCAAGCAATGATTTCTGATCTAAAATTAGAAATAAAAACCAAAAAAATATGCTATAATTCGCACTTCTGGTTTTTATGTCCAATGCTTGCTATGAATTTTATTTTTAATTATAAAATTTCAATAATACTTTGGTTTCTCGATCTACCTAAACATTTTTACAAAATCTTGAAATCTGTTATTTGTTTTTACACAAAATTTTACTCGATGAAACTATGCAACAGTTCATATTTAATCCCCACAATTTTTTTAATAATCTAGAAAAAATAATCACACAAACCTTTCAAAAGCATCTTTGTTTTATTTAGTTTTACATTTTGTTGACTTTTCTCGAAAACTTGATATTAAATTATTTAACTAATTTTTCAACTGTTAGTATTGATTTTGTATAATTGGTTTTTGAAGCAATATGCTAATGCATCCTGTCCAACTGTTGTATTATTGACAATTATAAATACTTACCATTATGTTGTTGTGTCAGAGAAAAATCCATCAAAGTGAGAAATATAATTGGTACAATGAGTAGCATTTTTGTAATAATCTAATACAAAACAAAAATTCCAATGAATCTAATTTCTGAGTTTGTTAGTATCTTCAAAGCAGCGGTGACCGATATAAATCGGCCGTGAAGTGCACATTTGTCTAAAACAGTGGTCTCAAACTTGTGGCCCAATTGCGGCCCGCAGGACGATTGTTTGCGGCCCCCGCCTTGGTATGAAAGTTTAATGTTAGTGCGGCCCGTAAGTCACTCAGCTAAGTTAGAATGATTGATGCATTTGATATATGATCAGGACAAGTAGAGCAAAACAAAATATTTTTTAATCTATCCACCGAAAGGAATATACGGTACGATAACCTACCAGTACCGTACCTGTAGGCATGATATTCGATAGACCTTTGACCCCAAAGAAAATTTTGTTATACTTCACCATTGCAAATTCTTGGTGCTTATTTTAGAGGTGGCTTCGCGAGTTGAAGCCTTTAAACTGGGGTATGTGTTTCACGTCATCAATTTGATTCAAAACATTCAACAACCTGTTTTATAACAGTACCGGTAGAGAAATTTAACCTAGTCTATCACAGCTATTTCTAGACTAATTTATGATTACGGCAATTAAGCTACGACGCCCAAGCAATCAGCATGATCATTGAGTTCTTTGATTCATACTTGAATTTCTGAAACACAACCCAAAACTAACAAATAGCATGCAAAAACGAGGTAATGTTTACAAACATGCCTGAAAATCTTTCTGAGTGACAAGTGTCTAAGCGTTTGCGTAAAAGTCTATTGTTACGTCACTTTTCGCGTCCTGCTGATTAGCCCATGTTACGGAATAAACAAGGAAGTAGATGCTCGGGGAAAGGTCCATCGCGATATTACTCCCATTTATGTTTTTGACATGTTTTGCGTATAGAAAAAACAATGAAAAAGATTGAACTTTTTAAGTTTAATGATTTTATTGTGAAAAACTCGATGTGGCCCGGGGACTCACTAAGGCTTCGTTTCGGCGGCCTCCAGGTCAATTGAGTTTGAGACCCCTGATCTAAAACGATGATAATTTATTTTTAAATGCCTCAAAAATCTTTTTATGACATTTTTATTAATCTAGTTGACAGCATTTTATAAAAATGTTATTTGGAGCTATTGATGCCATTGAATGAAGCAGCGATTTTTCTATCGCTCGTATCTCTTAAGTTATTGCGCTATTCCTTTCGAAATCTGTGCGCAATCTTGGTCACCGATAACGAATCATTCAGATTTGATTCTAACCTACAAACAACACACTTGATATTCCCTGTCATTGTTCTGCCAAAGCAAATCTAAACATAATGTTTTGCCTCATTGCTCCAAGTTCGTTCGTCGTTCGGCGGGTTTCTAGGGGGGTAGCGAAGGTCTGACAAAACAGTAGAAAATAATACAAAACTTTAGGTTAAATATTGTCAATAGAACGCGAAGAAGTCTGAAATAGACTCTCGGATGCATCCGAGAGATTTTCAATAGCTGCTGTGAGACCCCAGAATGTCGCCTATTGCTTGGAAACCAAGCAAGCGGAGCGAGGTGTTAATGGCATGTTAATCATTGTGACGTCACACGAACTCGTCTGCATTTCCGCGCGTCACAATGCGGAAAACACGCGGGCTCCGAAGCAATGGCGGGATTTTGAAACCATGGCCGCTATGGCCAAACATATGGCGACTAACTTTTTAGCTGCCACAAATCAATGGCGAGATGTCGTTACCACGGCAGCAAATTGAAAACCAAAGGCGGCTGAAAATTTGCTGCCGTAACCACGGCATGTCGGCTGTGATGGTAGGGCTGTCCCTGATGGCAATAAATATGGGTTGGGTTGCAACATTTTTCTTATGGATACAGTTTTGATGGATTTGGGGTTAGGTTTCAGGTTTAAGTAGATATAATTCCGCATGATGCACTAAAATCTGGTACACGACTTTGTGAATAAAAGCGCCATAACCACGGCAAGAGCTGCCATCGGTACGATCGTGGCAGCAGCTGTCATGAAGTTGTAAGAACCTCGGCTCCTATTTGCCACTTATTTTATTGGAGTATAGAAAGTGAGGCAGAGGGTCACGAGGTATTTGTAAACCACCAAAGGAGGTCGCGAGCCAGAAAAGGTTGGGAACCACTGCTATACATCAAAGGTATATATATATATGTAAGCCTAATTATTAAAATTTAGGTCTACCGATTCATAGCCTTTCAAAATTGTCCGGTATTGCGGGCTAGCTTTTTAAAAATTTATAGCTTTCATCAAAATATAAAATCATAATTCAAATGATAATATAATCATAACCGTGTGACTGGAATATAGAAATTAAATCTTAAGTTAAACAGCAAGCTGTCGCCTGATAAGAAGATTATTCGACTTATGTTAACGCTTAGTATTATTTATCTTTTTATTTCTGAATAATTTAGTATTTATAAGAACAAAGAATTACAAAAGATTACAAAGATAATAGAATTGCTATAACATATATAAAATTAAATTAAGTAAAAACCTCTTGACTACTTTGTATATAAAATATTTTTAGAAATTGATACTATATATAATTAAAGTTCAGAGATTTTAGCTATTAAAATATCAATATATTTTAAAACTTCATTAGAATAATAATAATAATAATAACAACATATCTGATTAATATATACATTGACTTATCAAATGTGTTTCTCGCAAAACGTAGAAAATATAGAAAATAATCTTGTGGAATAATAGTCTGCTCCCCTATTTTTAACGCTCATCAGTCCAAATATTTATCTCAAGTATTGCTGTCTAATATCTATCTAATTGTCTGTCTATATATTAACTATCTAATATTGGAATATGTAATTTAATACGTACTCGTACAGGTACAATGTAGGAAGCGATAAATATCTGTGAATATATCGCATATTATTCAACGACTTATTTACTTGCACTCTCGTCACAGCATTTCGAACGGGGCAATTTTATCCGCCTACATTACTTCCCTAAGGATTAACGATATGAAGGAGATTTGATGCCTATTTGTAATTGATTTGTATAAATCAGAATAATATTACTAAAGGATTGACCCAGGAAGAGAAAATTGATATATCACAGGCAATACAGAGGCAATTTCCGGAATCAATAGCGGATTATGCCGCGATGGGGTCAGTGTGTAGCCTTTTTGTATAATTTGTGTTTAGAATTACTATACGTTACTACGGGTTGTTTATAATGGTAAAATATTTGGTTAATGTATACCTGAACCACAACCAGCATGCTATTTTTTTATTTCAAGAAAAGCTGGACGGTAACTTCTTATGATTTATTTTTGCTCTATCAAATATTTTAGAGTATATTTCAACATGATTTTAATTACTATGTTTACAGTATAAGGAGTCTTAATGGGATTTTGGAAATGGAAAGGTAATAAGCACGGCTGAGTCAAAGAGTAATGAACGCTAGAATGCCTTTTTGGTGAAAATATAGTGCATTTATTTTAATATAGGATAAAGTGTAAACTAAATTATGAAATTGCATAAATTTAGCCATGCCGTGAAATTATTTTTTCCTATTAAATACAAATCCTAGCAAAATATAGCAAGATATATTACAGGTGAAATAATGAATCCTACAAACGGTGGCTATACACCTGAAGACTATTATATCACGTCTCACGTATTCTGAGACATTACTCATACTGACGCACAAATGACTAGCACCGTTTTAGAAAGCCACAATATACTGCTGTACATCAGTATCTACAATATCACAGCTTTATTAAATCCATTTTATGAACTAATTCAAATTTAAATATATCTTGATTATAAGTTGATGATTTACCAGTGGTTTTTATCCAGGGTTTCATGAAATGCTATCAGAACAATTGCATTCGTACAGCGGAAGATATTTAATGATATATTGCAGCAAAAAATAAAGAATAGAACATGCAATGCATATTCTGCTTAGTCAGATTTTGGGAATCTTTTTGGCTTTAGTAGGCACCTTATATTAGGATGAACTGACGATTTGGAAACTCTCCACTACCAATACCATACCAATATTTTTGTCTTTGAGTCCTAAACTGTATTGATTGACTTTCTTTTTCGGGTGGCGTCATATCTCTTGGCCGCGAGCTCCTCTCGGCTCGGCTCTCGGGGATCCTAGAAACGCAGCATTTTTGACACAAATGTTTTGGTCGACTACCGTGATATCAATGTACAATCAATTTATACTGTACTACCTAATTGTAGTCTTTTATATTTTATTGCAGATCTGAATTTTTCTAACGTTGATTTCTTGAAAATAATCTTGGGTGGTATTATTGTGATTGGGCGGGATCAGTGTTGCAAGAACGCATCAAATTTGTATAATTCGTAACATCGCAAAAATATGAATCAAAACTAAATGTAATCGGATGATTTGACTTTTTATGGCCGTAGATTGCCGTGAAATTTTGTAGTAATGTTCTTTTTTTGTCGAAGCAGCCTCAGATTACCTTAAATACACAATTAAATTATTAAAGCAAGACATTAAAAATATTCTCGGATTAGTCGCATATTGATTACTTTGCGCAACTGCAAAATCATTATCGCATATCATCCAACGACTTATTTACTTGCACTCTTAACACAGCATTTCGAACGAGGCAATTTTATCCGCCTACATTACTTTCGTAACGGTAAACGATATGAAAGTAATTTGTTGCGCATTTGTAATTAATTTGTACGAATCAGAACAATATTACTCACACATTGACCCAGGAAGTGAAAATTGATATACAACCCAATGTAAAGGTAATTTCCGGAATTAGTTGAGGAAATGCTGCAATGTCGCATATGTCTGGTTTGTGTTCAGAGATACCACGTTATTCCAATTTTAGGTTTTTTTTCAACAGTAAAATATTTTGATAATGTATAACTGAACCAACTGGCATTACTTGACCCGCACACGTCCGAAATGTGTATATTTGGCCCAATGTTAGATAAAGTTTGCATATCACTGATGTAAATATTTGCCAACAATATTAAAATTGTAACATCAACTGAAAATGCTGAAAATATTTATTAAATAGTTAATACATATCATTAAATACATTTTCATTTATTTATTCTTGAATCAAACATGTGCAAATGATATTTGAAAAGCAAGAACATAATACCCCAATAGATATCATTCGTTGAAAATTTAACTTACATTCTATAAAAATAAACCAAATTATGAAAAGTAGTTTGCTAATGGGATAAAGAAATACCCCAACACAACAGGGAATAACAATCTAGCAAACTGCCATTTATACTAGAAAATAGTTTATATACATTTTAATAGAATACGAAAACAACAATCCATAACAAAACTCCCTATTATGGGTATTCCAACATGATACTGTTTCAGCATATATCGAAGAATTCAGAAGTCACATTGCCAAATATGCGGTCACCATTTTTGGCAGACATGATGTAATCTTTCGGACAGTTGCATTCATTCTGCATATCTTCAATTTCGCCGGGGGTTAAAGTGCGATGCCAGAGCATGCAATTCTTTATGAAACCAAGGAAAGAATCTCTAACTTCAAATTTACCCAGAATTTTATCTTGATCTTGCCCAAGTACTACAGTTCCTTGCCCCTTAATTTCAGTAATTTTATGGCGCAATGTCTTACGTGAATGTTCGGTTCCGTTGAGATATAGATGAACAGAGTTATTTATTGTGGAAACAACAACACAGATATGGTTTTCGTTTTTGTTTTCAATTCCATCGAAAGTCAATTTGTTTGGATGTAAATAAACTCTCAGTTTTGGCTCAAATTCGATTAGTAGAGTGTTATGGTGGTCAGTTGTTGCATAGCTGAACACGGCACCATTTACAATCTTGTCATGAATCGGAGATACCCAAGCACAGACAGTGGCTTCGGTCATATCCGGGATTGATGCGTTTACGATGACGTAATCTCGTATCTGACGTCTGTTAGGAAAACCAAATGTATACTGGGGACATTCTGAAACAAATGACAATAATTAATTCCAATAACCTGAAGAATTAAAGGAAACACACAAATCTATTTTTCTGACTACTCCAGTACAGCTACTGTGTTTATTTCAGCTGAATTTAAAGTTCTCCCGTAGTATCAGGTTAGGCTTATGGCATAATTTTATTCCAATTTTACTTATTTTATATCTTTCACGAGTTCGGGACTGTCTGTGTTAAGCAAGTGAATATAACCCCTGCCCATAAGTTTACACAACATGCTGTGAAGTAGGCGAACAAAATTAGTTACCTCCATATTGGGATTTAAAATCAACCACTTTTAAGAGAACTTAATTGAAATTGTGTAATGGGATTAATAGAATTTAAGTTTCAGTGTGCAATCAATCCCGGAAATCATGCTTCGATGTACAGTACTTTGTAAATGACCTTTTATGCAATGCATAGAGTTGGAACTATGCTGGGCCAGATAAACCATTAGTTTCAAAGTAGACTATAATCATTCTTAACATACTTTTGTTGCCGACTAGCTGACTTTCAACGTATGCTGAGACTTCTCGTTCGAGGTCTGAAAAATATAAACCAATTGAAATCAAATATATTAGTTATCATTAAGATGTAAAATCTGCCACCGAAACTAGAAATTTTACAAAACTGCAAGAAGCATAAAATATTATATTCTATATATTAAGAAATATGGTGAAATTGTCAAAAGTTAGGTATGTTCAGAGAAATTATAAAATCATATAAAAAGGATCCCAGCACACAACTGTGAAATATATTTTAAATCAAAAGCAAATGATCTAACAAGGAAATATGACCTAATTGATGCGTTGTATGAATCAGGTTAATAAAATATATAGTTACACACAACACGAGCAGTAAGTATATGCAACTACGCAATTTTGTTCGTATAATTATCGCAAAAACGAGGAAATAACTCTATTTTGAGCCCGTTGAGTAATAAAAGGCAGTGGAATCATTTGGTTGCAATGGAATTGAAATCAGCCGACCAATGTTTGAATTTATGGGATCGGAAGTCAAAAAAGGGGTTCTCGTAAACCATATAAGAGTGTTCCTATAAATTCAAATAAAACAGCAAATCATGAAATATTGGAAATAAAAAGAAAAAGAAATAAAAAAAAAATTGTATTGGGATCTCAACCACCTCAACGTACAGCAAACTTAAAATCGAATTTTCCATTTGCAAAGAAAACCTATTATTTTACAGCAATAACGACAAATTAGTAGATCGATGCATAGGTACCCTCCGCGTCTATTAGCACCTCCCTATTTGAATAACATGAACTAAATTTCAAATATGTCCATGCGAGGAGTTTTTTAAGTGACGGGGGGCATTGCGTACCAAAATGGCTGACATCGGAACGTAGTATGTGTACCATGTTATGGTTAGTTCATAACTTTATTCCAATTTTCCCTATTTTATTTTCACTACAAGCTCGGGGACTACGCAAGTGATTCCCATAGTATTTGTACCTAAAATTATTGCCTAACCCTAATCTGGTACACATACTACGTTCCGCTGTCAGCCATCTTGATACGCATATTTCAGGAAGGCCTGATTTTCAGTCAAACAAGATCTCTTCTTGGAACTTAACACTTCATAACCACACGCCTTCACTACACAAATATGTCAATACACAAATGTACACTCACCTTCCAGATTTTCCTGTCAGAATAAAGGAAAAAAAGTTTAATTTTGTAGGTCACCGGTTCCCAAATTTTTAATCGTACGGCGCGAAATTATCAGGAAAATTCCCCTAGCGCACTAACACGAAAAAAATTGCTGTTTTTAGGTATAACTCAATTTTGTGAACGATATTGTGTAGACTACTTTATGCTGTTTAAATTTTGTAAACATGTAGGCCTAAAAAATAAAGGAAAATGTAAACACTTCTGAATGAAAAAATCATTCGTGTTTGCTAAACTCGGTTTAGCTGATAAATAAATTGCAGCTTGCGGATTTGCAGCAAGTATTGTATATCTTTATTGTTACGTAACAGTTACGTAACAATAGAGACGGCTCTGCGTAGCAGAAAATAAACGTCACAGAAATGTAAAATGATTTTATTGATTCACATGCATAGCATAATTGGAAACGACGAATCATCAATACAACATGTAAAATATTCAATCATCTATTAGTTGAGTTTACCAAAAAATCTAGCGTTTTGAGAGGCGTCATTGGTTAATGATATAATGCCTGTGTTGAATAGAAATTTATCTGGTACTCCCAGAGTTTGTTAACCAAGATGGCGGACACCAGAACGTAGTATGTGAGGCCAGAATTTTATTTCAATTTCCCCTTATTTTAGTTCTATTATGAGTTCGGGGACTAGTCATTTGGTTGCAATGGAATTAAAATCAGCCGAACAATGTTTGAATTTATGGGATCGGAAGTCAAAAAAGGGGTTCTCGTAAACCATATAAGAGTGTTCCTTCAAATTCATATAAAACAGCAAATCATGAAATATTGGAAATAAAAAGAGAAAGAAATGAAAAAAAAAATTGTATTGGGATCTCAACCACCTCAACGTACTGCAAACTTAAAATCGAATCTTCCATTTGCAAAGAAAACCTATTATTTTACAGCAATAACGACAAATTAGCAGATCGATGCATAGGTACCCTCCGCGTCTATTAGCACCTCCCCATTTGAATAACATCAACTGAATTTCAAATATGTCTATGCGAGGAGTTTTTTAAGTGACATTAGTCAACCTTTTTTTTATTGGGGGGCTGCGTACCAAAATGGCTGATATCGGAACGTAGTATGTGTACCAGGTTATGGTTAGTTCATAACTTTATTCCAATTTTCCTTATTTTATTTTCACTACTGTTCGGGGACTAGGCAAGTAGGTCAGCGGTTCCCAATTTTTTAATCGTGCAGCGCGAAATTGTCAGGAAAAAAACCATAGCGCACTTACACAAAAACAAAATTGCTGTTTTTACATATAACTCAATTTTGTGAACGATATTGTGTAGACTACTTTATGCTCTTTAAAGTTTGTAAACATGTAGGCCTAAAAATAAAGGAAAATGTAAACACTTCTGAATGAAAAAATCACTCGTGTTTGCTAAACTCGGTTAAGCTAATAAATGAATTGCAGCTTGCGGATTTGCAGCAAGTATTGTCTATCTTTATTGTTACGTAACAGTTACGTGACAATAGAGACGGCTCTGCGTAGCAGAAAATAAACGTCATAGAAATGTAAAATGTTTTTATTGATTCACATGCATAGCATAATTGGAAACGACGAATCATCAATACAACATGTAAAATATTCAATCATTTATTAGTTGTGTTTACCAAAAAATCTAGCGTTTTGAGAGGCGTCATTGGTTAATGATATAATGCCTGTGTTGAATAGAAATTTATCTGGTACTCCCAGAGTTTGTTAACCAAGATGGCGGACACCAGAACGTAGTATGTGAGGCCAGAATTTTTTTTTCAATTTCCCCTTATTTTAGTTCTATTATGAGTTCGGGGACTAGTCAAGTGACTCCCGTAGTATTTGTACCTGAAATTATTGCCTAACCCTAACCTGGTACACATATGTCCGCCATCTTGGTTGACATACTTCGGGAATACCGGTTATTGTGACAAATGAGAAGTTTAAGTGGATTAAGTGGAAGGATTGCGTCAGAAGTTGCGTAATTTGACGTAATCGTTGTCGCGTGAAGTGGTATTCACCGTCGTGTTTCCGAATGTTTCCAATAGCTTTCAGGTGCACCCGTGGCTTTGGACAATAGTAAGTTACCATTACTTTTGACGGAATGCACGTGAGTATTTTCAAGCAAATTTATGTTCATATAGGATGATGAGAGTCGGCAACCTTTTTCGATCTCCGAGTGAGTCTATATCTGTATTTTGCCTCTAGAGAGGCATCAATGAATCAAAAATATATTACAATTCATACTCATTTAACAATGACGACCTTTTGCAACAAATAACTTTTAATTTGGAAATCGATGACACTCAACATGAGTTCATCATGTCCATACGCGGTTTATAATAATCATGATGAAATAAAGACGCTTTTCCTTTTTGGGGGTTTCCTAGGTCTCTCATCCCTGCTTCGTGTCCCTGAGGTCCATTTACAAAACTTAGCATATAGATTGTTTCGTATTGAATTTATCCAGGACTAAAAATTTATATTAGTGATAGGTAACGATTTAGTAACAAAATCAACAGTTACAGCGCATTCGCTCATATTTGTAACGATTCAAACCTAATTGATAACATTACCTGACTACTTAAACTTCTAATCTAAACCGATTTCTTGTGTGTCGCATGAAATATGTTAAATGTAGTAACTTACCGCATCAAAGTAAAATTCTTTACAATTAATGTCATTCTCATCACAATTTTCGTACGATGGTGCGGAATTAGTATCTGTTGCGTCTGGAAGAAAAGTTTTGAACAATAAACAGGGAATTTCAATTCGATGAAATTAAGGAAAGACAAGAGTGAAATATTAAGAAAATATTCGCATGGTGCTTTTCACGCATTTGCAGAGCAGGGTATCCCCTTAGGTGTTATTAAGCACCAATATTGTATAAGATTGTAGAGTACTCATGTAGTATGTGAGCCAAGATGGCGTAGCAGAACGTAGTATGTGTACCAGATTAGAGTTAAGCTATAATTTGAGGTACAAATACTACGAGAGTCACTTGGCTAGTCCCAGAAATTTTAATAGAACCTAAATTAGGAAAATTGGAATAAAATTATGTCCTAACCCTGACCTTGTACACATACTACATTCCAGTGTCCACCATCTTGGTTTATATACTACGGAAACGACGGTTTTAGTTCGCCCAAACATAACAGCGGTGAACAAGTGTGTCACCATATTTAATATAGAGTGTTCTTATCATTGAAATAAAACAAAAAAATTCTGTCTGACGTATCGATCTTAAAGAACTCGGAAATTTGAAAAACAAAAGGATTGTACCGACTTGAACTAGCAAATGCTGATAAATTTAATATCAATTGGTCGCTTTGTATAGGAGAGAATACGGTTTTTTTTTGGATACCAATAGTTATCTCTATGACAATAGCAAGAATTGAGAAAAGCGAACTATACGTGGTCGCTTGTACAGGGCCTTGTGCGGAGAAAAATACCTGAATAGCCGTCGTGTGAAATATATGCGCTGGATCAAAGGTGTGCAGCAGGTATAACTTCGCAACGCAATGGGATTGGGATTACTCGCAGGTACCAGATTAAACTAAATTAAAATTTTGTTCCGCGGGCCGCACACAAATCGAAATTGCATGTCTCCGCAGGCCGCATTTTTTTGTGGACGGGTCACAGGTTGCACATCCCTGCCCTAGATGTCTAGTACCGGTAATTAACATACTATTGGAAATTGTTATAAAGACAGTTTACCTTTGCACTCTCCATTTTGTATTGTCGAATCTTGAGTATATGCTCCAGGCAAGACAATCAAAAGCAAAATACTTATTATCCTCATTTCCCTTATTTTTTTTAATTTACTATTTGTATCCCTAATATCTGTCAATTTTTAAAAAATAAATTGAAATTAGGAATTCACAGCACGCCAAGTCAAAGTTTGTTACGAAAGTTGAATACAGATTGTTCACATAGTCTTGATACTTTACAAATTGTAAATATACTCTTTACGCTATATAGTTTTCAAATGAAATAAAAAAAAATCAAATAAACACTGATTAGAATAGCACAAACCATGACGAAATTGAAATTGTAGTAGGACTTTATGAGCACCCTAGATCTTTCTCATGGTTAGACGAAGGCTTATCATACGATATATAGTAACAACTCACTTATAACCCCACAGATATTTGTGAAGGTACAGTTACGCATTTAAAAAAAAATTAAAAAAATCATAAAATCTAAGGCAGCGTATGACAAAATACAACTATGCTATCTGTCGACCCGTGTTGTCATTTCATCATATCAATATTTTGTTATACTGACCTATTTTTTTATTAGTAGCTCATTTTATTTAAATTTCTGTATTTTTAGTGAAATTTTCTATTCTGCCTAAACTGCCTCATTGTAGTATTGGATCGTTGTGACGTTCATTTCTGTAATTTTGAGACTTTTATATTTTAAATTTAAATTTATGTGATCTAGTTACTCATTCATGTTCTGAATGAAATGACTAATTGTAGTACGGATCCGTTGTGACTCAAAATTTGTGTAATTTAGAGCCTTTTATATTTAGCATGAATCGTAATATTGTATTGTTGTGACTTAAGTATAGTGACCAGAATGTTGCAAAAATATTTATTCTAGCTGGCTTCCTGTGTTTGTTGATACCAGAACTCATGAAACCCTATGATATTAGTTTTTCGTACATCCCAGTTTTTATAACTGTAGTACTGTCCATGGATAAATGCTGTGTCCAGGGGGGGGGTCGTGCTTGTTACAGTTCTAGAAGACCTAATCACTTAAGATCGTATATATATTTATATATATATATATAAACTAGTGTTTCATGTTAACAGAAATTAAATAAGCAGTTTTAATATTCATTACTGATTTAAGGCCAAATTATGATTAATTTACAACACATGATATTTCTCGGAAATGGTTATCATGCCTATACAGACAGGTTTAAGATGATACGTAAGTACTTGAGAACGAAAAATAAGCGAAATGTATTTTAACCCGGCCAATATTGAGGTATGATGGGTCTTCAGAGTAACTCGAATCCTTGGACACGTTTAGTGGACATAACGATCGTTTTGTTGTTATGTTGTTCTTTGACCCCTTTTTGACACCTGGTGGAAATATTAAAAAAAAACTTTTCTCTTTTGATCACTGAACCAATTGCTTTGAAATTTTTAGTGGTTAAAGATGAAATTTTTCCCCGGAAGGCTATTACTTTTATTTATTTCAAATATTTCTGTTAGCTCTGTGAGATTTGTTTTTGTTTGCTATGACGTCACTGAACGTTCTGCGGACGCAAATGCAGGCACTCTCTTTTTGATCACGTGCCATCAAACGTTGGCGTGACGGCGGATTCTGAAAGTCGCAAGTTTTTCGAGGTTACCGGTGAATGGCGGTGATGTTAAAGGTACGGTAGACCGTACTGTACTGCTTCGCTTGGTGTGAATATATTTGTAGACTGTAGTCTATAGGTACGGTAAACCGTACTTCACTGCTTCGTTTGGTGTGAATATATTTGTAGACTGTGGTATCTGCTGTTATAATACCGTGATAAATCGAATAAGTTGGTTTTGCGAAGAAGAAGCGTCTGGCATTACAGGTAGGAGGGGGAATAGGGGAGTGCGCATTTCCAATACGTCGATAATATCTTTGTAAATCAATTTGCGACCACCTGTTTTTGTCTGTTTGAATGCTGTGATGTGGTGCTTTGTTTATACGGGTACTGGTAAGTAACCGCATATGATTTTTGGGGAATTGTTCTGCGTGTCCATATATTTGAGCATCGCTCTCTTGTTTCATTAAACACTGAGGCGCCTTTGAATATTTGACTACGAAAATTTCTCTGAAACCCTTTTCTCTTGGTGCCCTGATCAAGTCCTTATTTTTCCTAACGGACAATCCAGCCCTGGTTGAGAATGATATTTGATTCGCAAACTTTTCTCAATTATGTGAATGATTGTTTTTCCCTAAGATAATCAAATTAGAATACCACAATATATTGCTTTTCATCAGTATATACAAGATCACAGCTTCATGAAATCTATTTGATATTGATTAATTAATTCAAATTTATTCGTATCTTGAATATAAGTTTATGATTTATAACAGTGGTTTAAACTGGGGTTTCACGGTCCCTCGGGGTCCCGCACGTACGCTCCAGTGGTTTCCATTCAAATTGTGAAGTTTTTGTGATAAATGTATAATTTTCAAATATAATCATATGCCTATTAGGTTTGCCACTTTTGAGAGAAAAAATAAACTATAGGGTCAAGCGCGTCCTCAGTATGTTTCATTGGGAGCTCCGCTCTACAAAAAATGTTGAAAAATATTGAATCATAGTTAAAATATATGAAGGGTTACATTTAAAAAATATTGCTTTATAATATGATCATTTATGGTCGTCAGAAGTAAATGGAAAATCTTATATTATATAGTTTGATAAGAGATGCTACTTGATTATGTTATATTCGAGATTTCTGAGTTTTAGTGAATTTGAAGCTGTTATCTTGTGATATATTAATGATTCATTTTGAAAGAAAATTGGCAGTAAAATATGAATAACTGTAACTCAGAAACAGTCAATATAGCAGCTTGTCAATTAATCTATTCTTGCACAAAATTTGTTGATATGGACAGTTGACGGGTATTTAGACGTAGATTATGTCACATGACGCTTTGGCTAAAAAAATATATCCTTTTTGTTTTCAATCATTTTTTGACTATTTTAATCGCATACACGTCATATTTTTTTAGAATGTTCTCGAGCAATTTACCACTGTCCAAATAAAAATCAAAACTTAAATGTAAAATATATAATAAAATATAAACGAGAATATCGGTCAGAGACCGAAGACCTATCGATCGAAAGTTAGGGGATCCCCCAAAAAGCGCTCTTACTCCATAGTGACACCTTGTGTCTCATCACTAATTAATTAATACCTCGCTAATTATACGACTCGCGAATATATAAACGATGACATATATGAATTATACTCGCTAATAATTCATCCAAAATCAATAGGCTTCTGGTCCGACATATGATGAATGCACATGCAAAATCTGGCGCAGATTCAATCTCGATTTCGTGAGATATCGCGTGCATCTAACAGACAGACAGACAGACAGACAGACAGACAGACAGACAGACAGACAGACAGACAGACAGACAGACAGACAGACAGACAGACAGACAGACAGAATGACATACAGACAGACAGACAAATACCTATCAACATACTTACCGATTAAAATCGATAAGTAAAAAATTCAGACTCAATCCAGACTCAAGGCGCAGATATATAATGAGTGAAATAGAAATTACATGTACATTTATGAAATTTACAAAACCAATAGGAGTTTGAATTTACAGTTGATTAAAACAATTCTCAATTTGATTTTTGCGAATAAAAATTTAAAAGCTTTGGATCGTATCAAGAGCAAATAAAATTGAACCTTTACATCAGGATTCGGCAAAGTGAGGTCCGTGGGCAAAGTGCGGACCGCAATATCCTTTACATTGGTGATAAATAAATAAAAACAATTTTGATTTTTGATAATTAATGAAAATCAGTCTCACGCATTGAGGCACATGTTAAGCATAGAAATAGCAGTTGCAAGTGCGTAATACAGTTTAAGGTGGCGATGGTTCATAGGCGAAAATATTACAGGTTGCACACTACCGAAATATGTATATTTTGCTAGATAGTAAAAACCATTTGCAGACAACTGATTTACACGATACTGAATGTATTCGCCAACATTATTACGCCATGAACTCCAATCAGAAATTCTGTAAATATTTATGGCAGAGTTCTTACATAATATTTAATATTTTTTTATTCCTTCCAAAAAAGAAATCAAACATATACACATGATTATTGAAAAACAAGAACAAAATCCGGCATTAAATATCATTCGTTAAAAATAAACCAATTCCATTCCATCGATTGCAATTTACTAATAGCGGTAGTAGTTTACTAATGCAACGAAGAATTATCCTAACACTTTAGGGAATGACAATCTGCCATTTTATACAAGTAAATAGTTTATATACATTTTATTAGAATACGGAAAAATACACACAATTTCAAACTGTTGGAACATTATAAGTGGATGCATTTTATTGTTTTATGAATAGCACTTTGAAATATATGGACAGATATTTATATATATTATTCCTATATCTTTTTGCAAAATAATTTACTAATGGGAGAACGAAATATCATAAGACAAATGGGAATCTAGTAAACTTTTTAGATTCGTAACAGAAACATAAGAGGTACAAACGTTTTCAAACTGCTGAACAACTTTAAGTGGAAAAGTTTACATGGTTAGAAAAACAAAAAGAGTGAGCAATTTGAAAACAACTTTATGATGAAGCCATGTTCTGTCTAAGGCTTCGTAGCGTCATATCTTTCTATATTCACTAATTTTATGTTCATTCCCGGCGATTTGATTTGTTTGAGTTTCATTCTCAGTCCTTTAACTGGTGATTCAAATATTTCTGTAAACAAAAATAATATGTTCATGAATCATCCCGATTGTTTATACTTTAACATTATTTTGAATATTCTTGTTTAAATTCGTTAATTTTATTTGTTACATTGCATCAACGGTAAAAATAACACACTTACTTTCTTCATCTTGTCCTATTTTGTCCCAATTAACATTCTTCAACAGAAATTTTCTGAATGCATCCACAGAGCACTGGGTAGGAATGATACCGGGACCCGCACATCGCAAGTCATTATCATAGTAGAGCGCGCACAAATCTTCGTTGCATGCTTTCGTCTGTGTGTAATAGAACATACCTTTTATGAATATCGGATTTGCAATTTCATCCATCCTAACAGTGCATTTTAATATCATATTATAAATGATATCTAACACGCGGAAATTGATTTTATATGAAACTCGTGACTCAGAATGGAAAGATTATTCTATTTGAGTCATGAAACGTTCCGATAATTTTATTTTTTCTGTGCTATCATTGAATAATTGAATGCAAATAAATCGTAATACTTAGTTGCCTTCTTTTTTGTATACGTGTTCCCGGTTGAAAGAAAAGTTTTTGCTAGATAGTAATATTTCTAAATGTACGACACCAAATCGGCGATACTGTTAACTTAATTTCATTCAAAAACCAATCTAGAATATCTTTCCATATGTTGCAAATTGGTTTACCTGATTTATAAAGACACTTCCACTCAATGTTCTTGTTGCTTTTTTAAACGTTTTTGTTCGCATTTGAATACCAGGTGAACACGATGCTGAGCACGGCGATCAGTAACTCCACATGAGGTCTAGGCAGAAATTAGCAATGAAACTTTAATGAACATTTAGACAAAGCTTGAGATCACTACATCAGCATGAGGGCGAATTCGTAAATGCAACAAACAAATAATTAACGATAGATAAAGCATAAATACAACCAGTCTGAGAAATGTGAACAGCCTTTGAACAAAACTGTAGACTATAGAGCAACACTATTTTATTAATTTTTTACCTCACTAGTTTAGTTTTTTATTGTTTGTTGTAGATATGTCGTATTACGAAGGGCATTTTTTGAGACAAGATTTGCATCAGTTAATGACGTACCTGTTGAATTTATGAGAGCAGTAATAACATCGAACGAACTTTCATGTAGTGCATTGAAATCCTGATAGGTAAATACTCTGTCGTTTCCCGTTCCACCGTTTGCGATCGTTCGTAATTCGTTTAAAGATATTCCATTCCCGACTCCGATTGAAAACGCAGTAACCGTATCTTTGTATTTTCATGCCTTAAATAAAGAATGGTTAATTAGCTATGCAGTGGATTGAGAACTCATACGACATTGTATCTATAAGTCTGTAAAAATTGTGAATACTATGCGAAACGGTAAGACAGTTGGAACCAAAGCTATCGCAATGCCTCTATAAGGAGGTGTTCAAAACTAAGAAATCTACAGGGTGAACAGACCATGTGTATACAGATGTTTGATGAAATATCTACAATATAAATGTAAGAGAGAAAGAAAATATTTTGCAGAAAATAGCATTTTAAAGATAAAAAATTGAATTCATTGCTATTTCCGATAGATCTTCCCCTTGCCTTCACTACATGCTTCAAACTGGTTGGAACTTGACCGCACGGGGCGCGTTTCTCCTGAAATTTTGTCCCAACAAGTCACCAATCCCGGCTTCAGAGCAATTGGTCCCAACATGAGGTAGGCGCACCACTGGTGGTACGCAAGCAGCTTTAAATTAATGCATGAATTACCTTTTGTATTCGCTGAACAAACAGCGTTTATAGCGCTATTAATCTTGTCCTTAACGATCGCCCTCGCCCGTTACATTCCACCAAAAATGTTCTCGCGTCTGCATTAACAAATCGGCAAATAGCTTTCGTGATAGCGACTAGCAATGATCAAAGTGTATTCGTCCAAGGTTTTGGATAATTTAGTTGTTATTATAAGATGTATTGTGACGTAACGCGCAAAATGGCAAAAACATGCCCTTTTCGTTTTAGGTGAACAGTAACGGGCGTGGGCGATCAATAAGGAAAAGGATTGGTAGCACTATGAACGCTGTTAAATTGTTAATTGCAATTATTGCTGTTTGATCGCAAGTTAAATTATTGCAATAACTCAAAGCTGCTTACGTACTACTTGAAAAGCTGTACCAGTGTATCACTAGTGGCGCGCGTAACTCAGATTGAGAACAACTGTCTTAAGGCATGATTTGATGACTCGTTGGGACAAAATTTCAGAAGAAACCAAACGTGCCTCGTGCAGTCAAGTTCCAATCAGATCGAGTCGTTTAGCGAAGCCAAAGGGAGGATATAGCAAAAAATATCAATGAATTCTAATATTTATCTTTACAGTGCTATTTTCTGCAAAATATTTTTTACTCTCACATTTATATTGTAGATATTTTAATAAACATTTGTCTACGCTTGGTCTGATCGCTCTGTGTATATATTAAAAATAGTAGTGTTACAATGCAAAAAATTCAGAGATGAATTTGTGATATCAATTTTATTTTAATAAATTTAAATATTGTTGGTCCAGTATCACATTTTATTAACACGTATTATTTTCAGATGAAAATTAAATCCCTACTTGTGAGTGGCGTACATGTTTTGACTAGATTCGTGATAAAAATTCTTGAGCAATGTAAAATATTTAAACTTTCGCCACACACAGTAGATGTGAAATGTACATTACTACTACTACATAGTGACAAGCAAGCTTTATTAGCTTGTTTGGTTTTTAGATATGAGCACTCGAAGAGTTAAACAAATTTCGTAGTTATTCAATTTGAAAACACGTCACAAATCATAATATCAACTGTGCTAATGATGATAATCATTTTGTGTCACAGATATATAAAATGAAAAAAAGGGAACTTGTTTATTATTCTAAATTTGATTTAATTCACAGACAATTATTCCCCGGAACCCTAAGATAATAACAGGTAACCTAGTTACACACCAGCTACGAAGAAAATCCCCATCATCTGCCTCACCATCAGTCACAATAATCACCGCTTTCTTGGAAATGTTAAAACTCTGAGATTTTAGAAATTCAACCTTAATATAAACGCAAGTAATATCAATGAAATAATTTGGCGAGGGTAGCAAAACGAACACAGCAAAAAAATCACTGTTTATAGTCAAAATCAAATAGTTTGTATATTTAGTCCAAACTAACATATATATATTTTGTCGGTTAATTGAGCGAAAATATTTTTACGTAGGATATAATATTTTGGATGACATTTATACTCCCCCAATAAACGACTTGAAATATAGGTTTTGAAGGATAGTATTTGTCATTTGGATTCCCCTATTGCTTCGAATAAAAAAAGTTTCAACTCATGGTATTCTCAGAAGTGACACTCTTACTCTTGCGTTTTTGCTACTTATGTTCTTCTATTGCACAGACCACCTCACCTCCATTACTCTCCGTAGTGCATAATGTGTATGAGTTGTCCAACCCAGGTATGTCATGTTCATAATCCTTGGTGTGAAACAGGATGCATTATTCACGCATTCACCCAGCACAAGTGGAATCACAAACTGTTTTGAATCTTCAATGGAAACCCTAGAAAATGAGTCGCAGACTTTTTACCAAATACACCAAATTATAGAGTAGAACTCGAGTGCTGTATAAAAATATTAACACAAATTAAATTATAGATATTTATTAAATAGTGTATTCATCTGTATTCTGTATTTGTTATTACTTTTTTCTTTAAAAACAAATTTAAAAATTTTAATGTTTTAATTTCACGGGATATAATGATGTTATCCAATATATGTAATAGTAAAATAAAAGCATATATTACCCGTCCGAAGGATTGTCCATGTATGCATATTGTAATACTTCAATATGTGCAGAGTCTCCAAAAGCTTTATACATTATTAATGTCTGGTTTACAAGCCATTCTTTTACTATTGTAAAGTTTTCTTTTCCGACAGATCCCGATCCATCGACTAAGAGCACTACTTCCAATAATGCCTGCTTTTCAACTGAAATTCAAAACAAAATAAAAATCACAGTAGTTTTGAATTCATTTGCAATATATTTCCATTTGAAAAAGTTTCAATTATATGCAAAATTTTATTTTATTGTCACTATGGTAGCTTTTATCTCACTTCAAGTTAAGGGTCGGCAACATTTTAACATTGCTGGACCAAAGGAACTTATCCCCATCCTGGTTTGCCTCTAAGTTACGCCATCGTTCTTTGATAAATATAACTAAAGAAGGTTTAATCATGTATTAGACATTATTTACTTTGGTGTCTGTAACAACTTATACCTGAAATAAGCTAATAAACTTTATATATTTTTTTTTCCTCACTGCATTAAATAGGTATGCAAGGCAAGTTGGATGTTATTGAATAAATGACAAACTAATTTTGAATCGTGTCAGAATTATCTTTTATTTCTGTTCCAAATATCAACGTTAGCTTGAACAATTAAATCGGAAGAATTTCCAACTTTTAGAGCACTAATTTGAAATTCACCTAAATGTATATAATACCATATATCGTAAGAAACACATGTAATCTAGAAAAAGTTTTCAGAAAAATCCTTGTGTAAGACATCTTCATCATCCACTAGTGAAATTTGAAAATACTTTTTACTACAATTCTTAGAAGATTCAAAAGTCCGAATCCGCCAAAATTATGTTCTATTTATCCTATTTCAATTTGTTTTTGGTAAGCCCAGAACACATTTAGCGAAATTCCAAATTGGCAATTCATGTTTGTACTGATTTGTGCTTGTAACTTTGCTGCAGTTTTTCTTTCAAATATCTTTGAAGCAATTTCTTTTTTTGTTTGTTCAACGCGTTCAACGAAAATAGTATTGAAATCAAATTGTACATACGTGTGTCCCAAATGAAAGTATTGAAATCAAATATCAGAGCCTCATGCATATGTATCCTGTACAAAAATGTTATTATAAACACCTACAATTATGTTGCTGTGCCAGAGAACCACCAATGCATATGAGAAACATAATTCCTTCAATCAGTAACATTCTTAGCATATTTTTAAGTCTCTTTCTATGTTGTAGAAATGTAGAAAAAAAATTGTCATTGGTTCAAAATAAAGTGTTGGCTGATTTTGATTATTGCAAAATTCTATGTTATTAAATTATACATTCTATCGTGGATTATATACCTATTAAGTATTTGCATTGCTTGTTTCATGAAAATGAAACTTCTATAGCTCTAAACTAATGCGTGCTCATTTTATCATATAATAAAATAAAAACAATTGGTTGTACGTGAATTCTTCGCGAAGTCGTTTCTAGAGAGAGAAAGTCTGAAATATGCAATATGTGTCTCAAAATGTCCTAGTAATAATAAATATAAATTTGACTCGACTTTGAATTGTTATACTCTCAAATTCATCAAATTCCAAGCAATAAAGTTTTTCATTATTTTAATAGATACCTTAAAATAAATAAATACCTAGGAATTTTTCAATAATGATATGTATATTTTATAGCTTTACGTTACATCATTTGACGTGACTTTGAATAACTATACTTTTAAATTCATTGAATTCAAAGGAATAAAGTTTTCATTCTATTTTTTTGATAGATACCTCAAAATAAATACCCAGGAATTTCGCAGGCTTTTAGCCAGCAATTCAAATTTACGGGTAAATAAAAAAATAATTTCAATCTCAGGCGTATACTAATATGAGCGTTGCTCTTTGAATAATTTACATTGCTCAATATTTCTAGTGATTCTTTATTAATTCCATCAATATCAAACATAAAGCTACGTGGCTATATTGGCATAAAGCCACGAAAACTTTAATCAAGACTACGAACTCAAGAATAAGATGAACCCTTGTATTGTCAAATTCCACTCATTCTCACCTCTTCCATCTTTATATTGTTTTAGGAGGGAACTTACGTTTTGGGAAAATTTTGATGTTCAGAATTTCGAGCAAATACAAATCTCTCCGATAAAAATTATCCTTTCCCAATGGCGTTTCTCTTTTCTCGCAATTACTACGTTATCGAGAGTCGGAATATACAAGTGCGTTCTGCAAATAATTTTTCTCTGAAAAAATCATTTCTAAGTTCGACAAAATCGTATTTCTAAACCAAATGTGATACTGATTCCAGTGAGAACTTATTTTAAATTAAACGCGGAAATTGCTACTTCGTTGTACTGCGTACCGTATATCAACTTTTAGGCATATGTTTGTGCGTCATTATCAGATTAAACTAACGACCTCGCATCCAATTACCTTCGTATTGTTCACAAGGGAGGAAGTAATTTGTAACACTGTGATTGCCTTGTGTTCTGCTGAAATTTCAGATATTTCATATTTTTAATATCCTATGCTACAACTTTTAGCAAAACTAAATTTTCCTTGCTTTACTTCGACTTTCTTTACTAATGGGGGATATAAGGATACGAAATTCATTTTTGAATTAGAAATATACTTCAATGTTTCGATTGAAATTGCGTCGATATATCACATTTCAAAAATCCCATGCCACAATTTTTAGAAAAACATATTTGTCTTTTCTTTTCTTATAACACATTTTTTCTCTAATAAGATAGATATGAATGACAAATTCATGCATTCGCGAAAAAAGATGAGACACAGAATTGACTTATAAGCTAGAATGGAAGAAATATTTGTAATGTTCATCTCAAAAGAGTCACATGAATCATGGACACCACGAATCAGTTTACGACACACCATTAGATTCAATGTGAAGATAAAATATTGAATGAAATTGATTAGCAGTACTAAAGCCTTCAACTAATCATTTTCATTTAATAACCAGATTAGTAGTTGACTTATCTACAGAAAGTCTACCTATTTTAAGTTGAAGTAATATTGACTCGTGCATTTCTTTCATAAACAACAAGACAATAAAAAAGCAAAAAAAAATGCCTACATTAGACTAGGAATGAAGCCACCTATGGTCTGGCATCTGCAAATTTTCTTTTCTTGACAAATAAAAAAATCCCACATTGGGTATTGAGACGGAAATGCAAAATTTGGTCATGCAGGGTGTAAAAAAGCAAATGGAGTCATAAAAGTTTGAAATATTGAATAATATTCTAGTTTGCTTAGATCAAGTGCTGACTGTGACGATTGACGTTTGGGGACCTTGAGCTGCAACGACGGTTGTTGTTGTTGTTGATTTGTTTGGAGAAGCTGAAAAAAAGGAACAAATACATCAAAACAAATTAATTCATGCTAATTACTTACAGCTTGATCTCGCTTGTTTTATGATATATAATAATGTGATTAAATATTTGTTTTCTATCAACACCACAGAAGTGTGGTGAAGTTCATTTTTAATAATAATAAATTAATATCCCTCTTCATCTGAATGAAATATGATACGTTTTCATTTAGCAATGATTAAGGCTCAGAGGAACTTTAACATTGACAAAATATTTCGTTAACTGCTACTGAAACGTTAACTATCTTATGCGACGATATATTAAATAGCAAAATATAATTCACATCAGTACTAACCTGCTAGAGTAATGAGTGCTACCCCCCAAATGATGCTCCAGATCCATCCGATCAAGAAAATTGGAACCAATATTATCTGCACAATTCCAACCCAGAAGTTGATGCAGAATGTTCCGACTCTTCCACCGCCAGATTGACCAGCGTTGCCACAGCATAGAACGCTGAAACCTGCCAGGATTGTTCCTGAAATATATTGGAATGCATTGGTACAGACAAATGAGAATATCGTAAAGAGAGCTAGATAAACACGCATCGGCGGACAGTTTTGTTCACCAACTGAAAACACTCAAGTCGATTCTACTTCTGATGTCTTGGAAAGCAGGGTTAGGTGTAGAACCTTCTGGGTTCATAATCGTATTTTCCGAGTTCTAATTCGTGCATTTTATATTATATTCAAAAATATTATTGCTACTGATATAGCACTTCTGTGAAAAAGTAACAAATATATTTATTACACGTTCTATATGCTGGGTGGCTGCCTTTAGCAAATGTGGTATAAATACCTGTGGTATTAAGTTTTATAAAAGCTAATTTTATTTATAAAGATAATTTTTAATACCATAATTTCTAGTTTGCACATACATTTTGCAAGTTTAAAGCACGGACATGTTACCGACTTAATGCATTATTGTAACTCAAAGAGCTGTGTTCCCATGCATGTTCCAAAGTTCAGATAAACGGAAAACTATCGGGTTCTATTGGACTCCGATTAAATATAAACAAACATGGTCTCTTAGCTACTTCTTTTTCAAGTGCTGGAAATTTGATATTGATTGGCCTTTCAGTTCAACAAGAAAAGCTTGTTTTGTCTCTGCGACAATAAAAGTCGTGAAAACAAAAAACAATACGACAAAAAGGATCTTTAGGTCACCTTCGTATCAAAAAACTTATTCTAGATTGATTTAATCTCAATAAATGAATGATATCACATATTATCGTGCAAAATTAAAAATATTTTTCCCTGTGTAGTCGCATGAACACGTATAATTGCAATATAATTAGTAAAATTGGTCCACATATTATATATCGATACGTAAAATTCCAATACGTTATTCGTGCTAAAGTTTTGTTTGCTATTTCCATTCGGTAATTTGCCATCATTCAAGATACATTAGAATTTGGAATAGTTCCAAACATGTAAATATTGCAGTATGAGTAATTGATTGTGCTTTTCTCGGTCTGATTCGAGTATATGCAGCATCAAGCTGTATTAATGACCGTACGCACGGATATCAGAAACGTAATAGGAATTAAACCCAACGTTCTTAATTCATAAAAGTTCAAATTATTTCTAGAATTTTAGAGTTCATGTCTACAAAACAACTTGGAAAAAAACCTTTATCAGGAAAACAAATAAGCATGACCAAATATATAGATAATAGCTCAGATCAGGGTGTGCAACCTTTAATACGGGAGGGCCAGATAAAAATAACTGGGTGAAACCGCGGGAACCAGCTTTATTGAATATAGGCTTTCTAGTAGTTGCAGCAACAAAAATTGAGGGCGTTTAACGTCATATACATAGATAATAATTGAACTCCAGTATAGGCTTCGCAACGCAAAGAAATTGGAATTATTTGCACTTAAAAGATTCAATTAATTTAAAAACTCGTTTCGCGCGATGCACACGATTTAAAATAGGCACTTCTCCGCGGACCGCACAATTTTCACTTGTGGGCCACATTTAGCCCGCGGGCCGCAAGTTGCACACCCCATGCTTAGACTACTAGACTGTAAAATAAAGCGTATAAATCGTATTTCCTTACGAATTCACTTTGGCTTCTGATCTGTAAACTATAAATAGATAAGGTAACTTACCTAGACCAGGAATTAAAAAATTCAGTATTCCATATATGATACCAAGCGCTAAAGGAAGTGCTGGAATGGCTGCTCTCATTGCACTTGGTTCCTTCTGCACTGTTTGTGTAACCACCATAGCTTGAGGTTGCTGTTGTTGAGGTTGAGATAGCTGTGGGTACATCGGTTGGCCTTGACCTGGTGCCACTTTAGGCTGCTCGGTATATTCAGGCGGAGGTGCTTGGTTCTAAATAAAAGGTAACATAGTTAGAAAATATATTTGACGAATATTTGTGGATATATGATGGCTCATTAAAAATGCAGGACAAAGGAGTAAATAAGTGGCATCGTGGCTATAGTATATGAATGGAAAACGAAATGGAAGACTGAAACAAATCAGAAATTGTTCAAAGGCGGGGAATTTTGTAATAGCCAATTATATGAACCCAACATAATCTTCAAGAATGGGAATCACATACAAGCAATTGTATTCTTGCATCATGCTTACGAAATGCTTGTGCGTGATATCGCGTGTGGAATATACAAAACAAATTTTGTAGGCCTACTAAAATGATAGTTGAACGAAGAAAAGATCAAAACTTGTTTTGAGAGATATTTTACAATGTAAAACACTTAAGGTATATGGACAACTGCGGTCCATAAGCCAGCTTTGAGTAAATATTTTTTTATGTCTGATATATTAATTGAACAACAATTCTCTACAGTCTCTACAGTTATAACCTCATTTTGAAATGCCTTTTTAAATTTTCATAATAAAAAAATGTATTCACTAAACATCTACAGACAAACAATTAGCCAAGACTGAAATTTTCATCAAAACCAATTTATCTAAATTCAAATTTATCACTAATTATTCGAATCATTATTAATCTTGATATTAAAATGCTTTCGAAATTAAAATTGCGTGTATTTTTATTTAAACCTTTTTATTATTATTATGATATGTATCGACTAGCCAGGCGAAAATCTATTACGTTTGTCCAATTGTCCTCAATATCTATCTCATTGTACTTTTTCCCCATACCTACCGCCATTTTCAGCGTATGAAAAACCTTATGTCCAGAAGTGCAGACAAACTGTAGACAACACTATCACAAACTAAAATAGTCTATTTTTCCTTCCTGAATGTGAGATTGAAAAAAACATTGAAATTAGCAAGTGTATTCGACAATCAAAATTTTACTTTCTTGATTAAAAGGATAAATTTCCAAAAATAATACGTAGAAAAGTAACAGTGCCGAAATTGAAATGAAGTTTTATCAAAACTTGTCATATTGATTTAATTTATACGGGACTACTTATCCTTCTTGTATAATTTTGTGTCGGTGGATCCGATCCGTATGCCTACAATACAGGAATACTTTACAAGATTAACGATAACTGTTCTCAGTGAATCAAGACTCTTGTTGCACAACAACACAAATATATTTCTGTAACGTTTCGTATGACCAAGCTTAGACTTCTTCAGACATATATAATTCAACCATCATTCATTAAAACTATCATCAATTTATTATGCTCAAAAAGTAAGGTTTATATGCGTTCGTTATTACAATACGCGTTGTCATGGAAGGAGTAAATCTGACAAAATATATTTCTTAGTCTCGTTTGTACAGCGTCACCTTGAGAGTACTTCGTTTTCTCTACATAAACATAGAACAAAATTGAATAGCGTCGAGTGGCGTATTACTGCCTGTGTCCATTGTTCGCATTGATATTACTGAGATATCAGAGTATTCAAGCCGATCCGAATGAATGTAATACGCAAATACTGTTGGACATTATATTTAACTTTTCATTATCATATACATGCTAATGAGCAAATATATATCAGGACTAGGGAGTGGAAAAGATAACAATTTAGTCGGTCAACCATTTTTAAATGACTAACGATTTCAACATATTCTTACCATCAGCTATCATAGTACTTTATATATGACATGCTACTCTAATATACATCCAGCTAAAGAAAATTAAATCGCACATATTTTTGTTGTCGCGAAGGTTTTTGTTCATCATAATATCACTTGACACTTGCCACAATACTCCCACTATGTTATTGTTAGCAATTTAGATTACCTGTCTGCTACTTTGGCCAAATTCGCAAATGTATTTCACACAAATGCATATATCGAATCCATATAAACAAGAAAACTGCGACAAGGGGAAATAAATGCAGCAACGGGCGAAGATAGGATTACTTCGCAGCAGTACTTTCTCTGTGCGTCTAACAGTGTTAGGGCGTACTACAACTTTGTGTTAAGAGCATCCTCCTAACTTAGCACCTAACTACCTATATGAATATAAATTGTGTCGTTAAAAGTCGCGCAGAATCTCTATATGTATATATATTCAAATACAGATAAAAACTGAAAGCATATTTAAGTAGACGAAATAGCACTACTGCGATAATAAAATGCACAAAACATTCCCATTTTACAACTAAACATTCAAATACTTTGCAAAAATTGTAATCAATGACATATGACGAACAGACGTTAAATCAATCAAAATTTCAAGCACGTTTTTCATGTCTGTGTCCTTATCGATAACTTATCACGACGGGTCGAACATACAGGCGAAAGGCTGTAAATGTAAATGATCTAGCGAATAAGCCATAGAATGTCTTCTTGTCGATTTGCCATTAAGTTGTTGTTCCCGATGTGAGCATTCCTAAAATCAAGATTCTGGAACGAATCTTAGTTTTGAATAATACTAGAATTGGACCTTTTACTCATTTTCTTTTTTAATTTCAGCGTTTCCAAGCAAATCAACGCTACAATAACCTTGTATACTATAGATCAGGGCTACTCAACTATTTTTACTGAAGATCCGCATACAAAACTTCAAAATTATTCGGGTCCGGTCTTTCCATAATTTTTATTTCGGCATCCTTAAACGCACACATTCCTCGTCCGGCTAAAGGGTATCAGCTAATCAAGATTGTTTATTATGGTGTTATAGTTCTTTTCATATATGTTCAAAACAATAAAAGTCATTTTACAAAATGAAACTTGTAAAGTGGGACTAATGATCCAAAATAAAGAATTAGGTGCGGTCCGAATCAAATACTCGAAAAGTCCGGATTCGGACCGCGATCCGCCAGTTTAGTAGCCCTGGTCTAGATTTCAAAAAAGATTTGTTAATTAGTGGATATTTCAAGCTTTCAAAACTTTATTTATATCCTTCACCTTGCATGGTCGGGTGATTTATTACTGACTTGATATATCATCCTGGTATTTGGGCTAACTGTAGGTTTTGCTGTTGTTATTTGATTACATGAATATTTTAACCGTGCGACGTTCACATAAAATTTGTTTTGTTTGTCTCAAACTGGAAGAGAGAAAGAATAAATATCATAAAAAATTGTTCAAGTGCCATTCTGCCTATATGTGATGTCATTTGTCTGTTTTGTGTTGCACATTGAAACTATTTGTTATTTTATTTGTTAACTCCGGGTCGAATGTTGTCGTGAACAAGATAAATTTTGTCAGTTTTCTACCATTACATCGAAACCCCAAGTTTTATGCCAGTAAGTAGTATTATATCAATGTGTTACAACCCGGTTATTTCTCCGTCATGGAGTATTTCCGATCGAAGTGTTAATATGCTATTTATCTCTATTCTATAGTGGCATATTGCTAAAGAGGTGCCCATTCAAGAATTTATTTCTTATTTAATCATGTATCAATAACCATCAGTGAAGTAATGTAGAATTGGAACAATTTTTCCTAAAAAAAATCCACTTGGAAAAGGCTACATGCCTCGATATCAGCAGAACACAGTTATACATGGTGTTTATAATGTCCCTTTACAGTTTCAATTTTGTTATGAAAACATTTCTCAAGATATCATGGTGAGCAGGCAAGGGTTTGTGTTTTTGTGATCAGTAATTGTTTAGATATTTTTACATCACTCAATACATCTGTGAGGGCCAAAACAAAACTATGGTATCGACTTAATGGACTTATCACAAAACTGTTTTCCACATACATTACCGCTATACGATTATTTGATGTGTTCTTATTTACTGTAGCATTCATTATTGAAATACTGTATAATTGAAGTAGAGCTAAATCATATTTTGCTAAAACTATGGCGTAGGATTTGGAGAATGCTACAGGCCTCTATTTCCAGCATGTTACAGTGATATGCCGTGATAACCAGGCTATCATCACAACATTTTAACAAAACAGTTTTCCACCCACTTATGGACGTATTTGTTGCGTAATTTTGTTCAGTATGTACGACCCACATTAACCTTTGGGATAATGACACACTGATCCACTAAACGAATGTTGCTATACCGTACAGTACACAATGGAGTGACCGTACCGTATATAATTTCCGGAATTAATTGAGGATACGGTCGCATAAAGATCAGTTTGGCACAATATGCTATTTACAATATTTCAAACTTACTGAGCTACGCAAATTTGCCAAGTAAAATTGTTGTTTCGAAAAAATGATTTGCATGGCGTAGCTGGTAGTGATTAGGTAACTTACCATTTAGGAGACACAGATAAGCTGATTCTTTAGGCTCATAAGCCGTTTCTGTAGAGTTTGCTCAGAGCAAAGTAGTTGAGGATAAGGGTGTTGCAAATGCGTTGAATTACTCACAGGGGGCTGTAAGATTTGTGTATTGCTTTAGCACGGGATTAGTAGTCTTGGATCAGTGTAGGTATAATGATTTTGATAGCAAAATGCTTTTATCGTCTCGAATACCAACATTCTCAAGACTTTGTATTCAGTTAACAAATATATAGGGTGTCCATAGAGTTTTATAATCATTTAAAATTGCAAAGGGAATTTATCGATACCTTATATTGTTTGGGCTCTCACAGATGTATTAAATAAAATAAGAATACTACTTAAAATATTATTAGGTAAAAACAACAAACCTGGGTAAGATTTATTGAAAACTGAATTCACAACAAAATTGAAGTTGTAAAGGCAGTTTATGGGCACCCGATATATATTATGATCTATACAGAATACGATCCATATTGTAGTTTAGTCAGCACTGTCTGCAAAGAATAATTCGGCCAGATTGCACTAATATCGCTACTTATGTATCAAACTATTATACCGTTTCTCATACAAGTAGGAGGATCTTTACTGTTCTAGGGGAGGAAATTTCACTTTGTGCTTGCGTGTAGTATTGTTGATATTTTTTGTATTTAAGATTATTGTAATAATCTTTATGGAAACATTGTGTCTTATTCAAACTACAAATCACAGAATGTGTTTATTACCAGCTAGTGATTCATTAAAAATTGCTCTACAAATATGAACCGTCTTATACGTAGCGAGGAAGGAATGAAGAGTTTCTAATTGTGCAAATGAAAAGAAACCCGGAAGCTCTCCTATTATCGCGCAGGCTTCAATACGACAAGAGCCAAAATATAAAATCGTTCTATAAATCGTTTATCTTGGTAGGAAGTCAGTTATATATGTCAACCTGGCATTCTGTCTGCCAATTATATATCGGTTAGGTATAACATAAATGGGTTTTTGGACAAAGGGCCAAAATTTTGACGTAAAAAATTACACTTTATGAACAGAATTTTATTTACAGTATTAGGAGAGCAAAAGTGGAAAAAATGAGCCTCGTGCCCAAACTAAATTTGACCCGCGGACCGTGGTGTGCCCTAGTCTTAGTTAGAGGCAAATATATTACTACCGAATATTATACAAACACAAATACTTCCAATGGCTCTTATATTATTTCACAGCAGGCTCCACTTTGACAGCAGAATTGAGTTAAAAAAGAAATTAAGTCTTTCTTGTGTTTCTCAGTTAAGATAGTTTATAGAAGTCGGAATTAAACCTAAAGTGAATATAATATGGCCGCGTCCATTGCACTTATCTTTATGTTTTACATTGGATATTGCAATGTAGTTTGTGGGAATACAGAGCAATGTACAGGTAAGTGATGATAGAAATTTCCTGAACAGCTTTTGAAATATTAGTCGTATCATTCTATAACATTGCAACATTGTATATAATATATTAGGTAGGTGAAATTTTGCCATATGACAGAATTGACTTTGGGATTTATTTGCCTCTGTGTACAATGAAGATTTATTCTTCTGACAATTTTCCATCCACAGTGTGCTACTTGCCAGGCGCATCAAAACATCGCAGAAGTGATATAAGATCTCTAATAAACGCATTCTTATTCAGATGAGACCGATGTTTTGATTTCATTCGGTGAGACTTGCAGCGAAGGTGATGGCAATTGTCAAGAGTTTATCTTTGATGGGGTATGCTTTATATTATGTACTCATTTCTCAAAAATTTGTTTAAAACTGCATGAATTTGGGTCAATTGTGATAGTAACTTATACGAATTTTAAAGGAAAATTCACGTTAGCCAGAGTTTCGGTATTGTCTAGTCGAGTCCTTGTGACAGAGAGGTAAGTGGATAGCTGATGATACGAGACTTGTAAAAATTCGACACTGCACTGGCAAGGAACAACAGGTATTTGGGGGCTAGTCCAACAAACGCCGTGAGGTAGGCTACTTCTAGTTGGCGTGGCATAACCCTTTTCGCACATGTCATTTCTAATTTCACCTGACTACTTCATTAAAAAAGTACGTCACTACAACGTCACAGTGACGAAATAAGGCTCATCAAAGTATACGGATTGTCGTCCAAACCAAATGCTGGTCTGAAATATTGGGGAATAAATCAAAATAAAAGCAAAATTATAATTTTCAAAAATTAACTGTAATTATGACAATTAGGATTTTGTAATAGAACAATAGAAGAATAACATCACAGTTAAATCAAATTTACTGTGCGATTATTGCACATGTAAACGTCATGCATATTACTGAAAATACCACGTGACGCAAGAATGCTTTGGTCCAATTTCCCATGGCCAGCCCTGATTATACAGTCAGCATACTAATTGACTGTTGTCAAGTATGGTTTGTTTGGAAATCAAATAAAATATTTACAAATCACAAAACATTGAATTAAATATCGGAATTTGTTAGTCTTAAAAACTGAAACAACGAACGTTATTTTTATTTGATTAAAAAAAATTAACATGCCTTTTTTCTTGTTTGTTTCAGAAAAACCTGGAAGGTAACTTTTTATATTTTATCTTGTTATATTAGATAGTCTAAAAAATGTTATAATATGCCTGTAAATTGTCAAAAAAAAAACGTTCAAAGATTCATTTAAAGATATTACGACACCTTCATTTAAAAATATAATGAACGCTTTTTTTAATTATCTCAACATAAACATTGAGCGGTAGTTCAGGAAACTTCCATATACATACAAGACCTGATTCTGTCGTATTATCGGCTTCCCTCTCCCCTGGGACATGTAGGGAAATCGTATCCTATCTTATATTAAAACACCGTTCTAATAATTAAATATTTTCATGTCAATTATATAGATTTTGAGCGAGATATAGCAAGATATATTGAAAACAAAATATTGAAACCCGCAAACGGTGGGAACATACCTGAAGACTATACCACATCTTCTGAGTCATTATCTACTGACATAGAAATGACGTCTGAAGCACCAGTGAACACAACACAAGCTAGCACCGTTTCGGAAAGTCACCGTATGTTGCTCTTTATTACTATAAATGTCATAATGGTAATCAATATGAATTTTTAAAAATAGATTAACCTGCTTTTTGAGTGTAATAAGATGATAATAGAATTATATCAAGCATAAAAGATATTATATTGTGAATGTTTTTTTTTTATATTCTGATAATTTATAATTGTCCGACGCAAATTTATATTACATAGTAATTCGATACGCTGTGATGGTGTGTGTATTCGGTGCTCGTGATTTAATGAGTCATGAACTAATATATAATGAGTCATCAAAATTATACAGTATTCAACCATATTTGGATCTAAATTTTGAAAAAGAGCGGTTACAATTTTATAAAGTACATGAGTCATAGACAGGTTGATATACCAGCTTCGCAATTAACAGTTTCTTGTGCTCAAAATTTGTCGGTATTTCGATCCATTTCAGTCTTAACGTTTTTACTCGAAAAAAAAAACATACAACACTCTTTGTGTGTTTCAATCACTTTTAGACTATTTTGTCTTTGTTTCCTAAGATACATCATTTTTTTTTTCAGAATGTTTCCGAGTCATCTACTATTTTCCAAATAAAAATCAAATAACTGATTTCGTTAAAATCAACAAAACGATGCCGACACTGACCGAAGCTACAATATGTGCCTGGGTAACACCACTTCCAAGCTCAACGGTTTCAGGGGCGTTATTCAGCTACTTTACAGAGCATAGTTATCTCGGGAACACACTTCTACTATTTTTTCCGAAAAATCAGAATGAGCTCCAAGTGCATGTTAATTATCGGTATGCAGAACTTGCACCGAGTTTTTTATGGACGTCTCGTAAAAGAAGTCATATCTGTGTCGTTGTTTCAACTATTACTGATAATGTAAAAATGTATGTAAACGGCAGCATATACGGACAACAAAATTTTTCATTCGCCAAATCGAATATACCTGGGAATGGGACGGCTATAATTGGGCAAGAACAAGACGATAACGGGGGTGCGTTTGATAAAAAACAATCATTTTCTGGAACAGTGGAGAATTTTCTAATGTGGAATCGTATCCTCGATGATAGCGAGATCAATAAAATACACGCTGCAGAGTGTGATTGTGAGAGTAATTCTATCTTGTCACCAACTCGTGATTTGTTTGAAATTCACGGGAACGTAAATGCTACGTATAAAGATTGCTAATCAACTTTATCATTTATACAACTAAACCAAAATAAAATTCTGAAGAAGGACATAAAAATTTCAGATGCTAATATGAAAAAGAACGGAAATTATTTACAGTAAAACAGTCGTACACAGATCTCCCCGAACAAAGCTACTTTGCAGTCTGCATGTTTAATAACAACATCACATTTGTCGCATTTTATTATCCAAGATAATATTTGTACGTATTTAGTGGATAATTTAGCTATACGAGGACTATAATTTGTTGTGAATAATAAAATTAATCTTTGAATGTTGCAGTACATAACTTTGTGAAAAAATGATTAAAATTTAGTATTTAACACGTTCTGATATTTTGTTCGTATAAACATTGAAGTTGAACTATACGCATGGGCAATTTCAGTATATATGTTTGATATTTCTTTACTTTTCTATGTATTTATATATTACTTGCTTTGTATTTAAACGGAAAATCATATTAAACAACGCTGAGACCTTAAAAGTTATGTAAATTTGTGATATTGGGTTACGGAACCGAACGGCAAGACTTCTTTATGTAAAGCCAAGCAAAAATAATAACAGAAGTCTGAGCAGAAGTGAAATTTATAGCTGAATAGATTCGAATATACTTTCATCGCGATGGTTTTATCACAGTGGGAGTTGAAAAGCTTCCACGAATGAGTAAGCATGCCAATGTTTTTTACCTCTGCAATCAATCTATGTTGAAACTTTGGTACTCCTGTAGTACGCGAACCAAGATGGCGGACAACGGAACGTAGTATGTGTACCAGCTTAGGGTTAGGTCATATTTTCATTCCAATTTTCCTTATTTCAGTTCTATTAGGACAGTGGTTCTTAAAGTATGGGTCGCGACCCAAACATGGGTCGCGGAAGGTTTAAAAATGGGTCGCGACAAGGTCGTCAATGCAAGGGCAATCTGAGAGGAGAAGGACGAATTTTCAGCTTTTCCAATGTTTCAATTTAGCTTCTAAACTCTGGTATTTAAAAATAATGGAATATAAAATTTCATTCACTGAAAGAACTGCCTTGAGCTCATTGTTACATCACAATTCTGACATGCCAGTCATGTGTATTATTTTTATGGTATCGGTAACCATGCACGTCGCTTGTCGTTGTGTTGACCGCGTGGAATGTCGTCTTAGTGGATTAAAATACCCAAAAATGGGTGTCTTTTTGGTAATGTAAATTGTAATAGACGACGCAATGAAGAAGCTCGCTTCTCGACATTAGATTATTCAATATCTAGAGAAAATGTGACTTCATCTCGAGGCACCATTTACCGCGAACGAAGCAGTGTGTGCACATTTTATGAGTAAAAAGTTGTATATTGCGAGAGATACCGAAGGCCAGTTGGGATGTCGCGTTTGCGACGGACAGCGGACGCCTTTTCTGCTACAATTCGCGACAAGGCACTTGTGCGAGCTAGGATATTTGGCACTGACGGTTATCAAAACTAAGCTCGCAATCGCCTCGATACCCGTGACAACTTGCGTATTGCGTTAAGTAAAATAGAGCTGTGTATTGAAGATATAATGAAAAGGAAATTTCAATTTCATCAATCTCACTGAGTCAATGGACTGTTTCTAATAAATAGTTGTCTGTATTTGAGTCAAACTGTACTAACATTAAAAACACAATTTGCGTTATTTAGGATTGGGTCGCGAGTATTCATAAAACTCAGATTTGGGTCGCGCTCGAAAAAGTTTGAGAACCACTGTATTAGGAATTAGGGGACTAGCCAAGTGACTCCCGTAATATTTGTACTTGAAATTATTGCCTAACCCTAACCTGATACACATACTACGTTCCAGTGTCCGCCATCTTGGTTCACAAACTACGAGAGTACCGAAACGTTACCTACACACATCAATTAACCCATTTTCAAGGTGGAAGTGAAGCAAGTATTTCTACGCAGTGTAAACAATCGTGTAAATAATCCTCGTCTAATAATCCAGATTCAATACTCAAGTGCAGGTTCATAGTGGGTTGGCAGCGTTGTAAATAGTTCTTTACGTTTGAGACTTCGTGCATTCGTAAGCGTAAGCGCTAAATGTTTAGAACGATAAATTACTTCTCGATGCGCCACTTATGAATGTTACTAGACATCGAATTGGCGTATGACTAATACCCCTTTTGTCTAACAAAACCGAAGAGCAATATCACGCTGTGGACGAACTGGTCACTACAACGGCACACAAGTCTAAGTAACCATACATTGGAAGGCAGCATAGTGACATTACTTTGCAGCTTGACTTATTGAAAAATAATTTCTTAGATGGAATGAGGTTTTAGACGAAGCTTACAGTATATAGACTGAAAATAATTTGAAAAAAAACCATGTAATAAGAACAATTATCATGCTATGAATAATAATAAATAATATTTGTAATAATTAATAATTATTTTAATAATCAATAATCATAATCATTTAAGGAAAGACTAAAATTAAATTACAGAAAATAAGAACAATATGTTTCAGCTCGTGCACTCTGCAGCAAAACTGAATTATCAGTAATGTATGACCCTGTAACATGACCTCTGTAAATATTGAGAGTTCAAATGAAATACGACCTTATATGGCTTCATGTCAATAATTCCAAAGTTAACTTGATTAAAAAAGAAGTGTAGCGGAGTAAAGCGAGTGTATGAAAAAATACGCACACGTACGATGCAACACACTCTTATTACAAAGCACGACTCCTGTAGACTGATAGATTAGTAAGCATTAAATTACCATGGTAGTGCAAACGTAACTGTTACAATCTTAATATTGAATATCCTGGTATCGTCGACCTTCATGTCCATAACCTCATTGAATTTGCAATAAATTGTATAAACAGTGTGCTGTGTAAGGAAGAAATGGGCGTTGTGCTTAACTAGATTTTGTAAAAAATGTAATCTTTCACCTATTGTCTTACGCATTGTCTAAACCAGTGGTTCGCGTCCTTTTTCAAGCCTCCAAAGTTTTCAAAAATTGAATTTGTTTGAAATCTCGCGGCAAAAGGATATGCTCAAATACTAAACGACTTCTCGTGCTTTACTTGAAAATGAATACCCTGTGCTTGTTTGCCATCAGGGAGCTTTTGAAATCGTACCGTGGGGTTCTTACTTAAGCAAAATAAATGTTTTCAATTTTTTTCGCTATACAATTACTATCGAGCAGCACCTCTATACCAAATATAAAATAAACAATAAAATTTACCTAAAAAGTAAATCAGTACCATTTAAGTCTTTGTTGAAAAGCATGCGACTCAAGAAGATTTTCAGGTGACCTAGTTTTGAAGTCGAAACCCACATAGGATGCTCTAGCTAGACTTTTCTAGAGACTTGTTCGGCATTTATGAGTGAAAAGATTAAAACGTCAATATACAGCTCTTAGTGGGAGAATAAGAATGCTCTTGAGATTTTCCCATGCGATCGCATGGGGAGTAAAGTACTTTTGATGCAGGACTTTATTTTGGAAACAGTTTAAATTGATTGCCTTTTGTGATTTTTATGAAATTTGATATTGGGGGCAGAGTACTTTTGTAGCACGATTTGGATTTTTTCGAACCAGTTAAATTTATGAAGATATTTATTCAGATTCGTTTCTTCGTTTCTTGTATTTTAATTAATTGTAGTTGAAAGTTTTGTGTTTCTATTATATAGACCTAGCATTCATTAGGCATCTAAATCAAGTATAAAAAAAAATTAAGTTCATGTATAGTACACCTATACATTAATAGATAATTTGATATTTCACCGGTCAGTTTTCGAAATGATTACGCAATTTTACCTCATCATATACGTTGTTTTCTATGTCAGTTGCATTTCTGCTGAAGGTTACACAAACAACTGCAAATGTGAGTATATACAGTTTCAAGAAAATAACAAATTCATCTTAACACAAATATTAATTTGTAAATTTTCCGAAATGTTCATATTTATTTTCATATCTTCATGTCAATGAATTTTTTACAAAGCTTGTTCTTCAAAATTTAGCTGATGAGCTTCAGCAAATTACAACGCCATTTGATGGAACCTGTAATGAAAACGATAAACATTGCAAGGAATTCATTTTTACTTCTGTGAGTATTTGAACAAAAAGAAAAATTTGAAAAAACTGAAGTAATAAATAAATCTTTCGTATAAACTCAAAGTATCTCAGGCTTATAATTTCAGAAAATTTTGATCCAAAAATTTATCACGTATGAGGTGCCTTTGTAAATATATGCATGTACTTTGTAATATTCGTTTTTGCGATTTTTAGAAACATTTTATGAGAAGGTATTAGTTTGTACATTTCGCCACCTCATTTGCTTGTGTATGAACAAGCGAAAATATGTTATGGGTTAAGACTAATAGAAAATAAATGATTACAAGTTATGAAATGGTATTAATAACACAAGTTATGGTTCAAGATAATACGCTTCTTTACAAAATCTATCATTCCTATTATAAGTAGCAAATTATTTTAATATTAAAGCTATTGAAACTTAAAATTTCAGGAGAATCTGCATGGTGAGTTTTCTACCAATTACATCATTTCTTATAGTTGAATAAACATAATACTTAGAGCAATGTGTTCATTGGTCCGCTAGTTTTGAAATTGCAAACATATACTTTAAAATTTGAAAAATTAATTTATAAATAATTTGCTTATATTGAAATGCAAAAATTATAAGAAATTAAAATCCGGATCCGCTTTGGCCGAGAGTGGTAAGCTTCTGTCGCAAGTTCAATATGTACATTTCTAGGAGATCAACATATTTTGGGTTTCAAGTAAAAACGAACTAGTCTAACAAAAATAGGTTGCTATACTTTGGCACACAGAGCAATTTCGATTCTTACATAAATTTGACTGTGTGGGGACTAGCTTGTTATCATTATATTTAAAGCTGATTTCTCTCTGTTCCGACGTAAAATTTGAATTCGATTAGTGTTGAATAAAGTTTAAACATATCAGAAAAATAACAATGTCGAAAATTCACTTCTTCAGATCTTGAAAAGCAAGTAGCTGAATTTGCCGAAAATAGTATTTTTCAGACACCTAATCACCAAAAACCCACTGCAAGCACTTTGTCTCCACCTGAACAATTAACATCTGCATCCGCCAATACAGGTGAACGTCTTTTGTTAGTCTTTTGTTAACTAATTTAAGCCTATTTCAAAGTATTTCTGAAGTGATGTGGTGTATACGCAAGTACTGTACACTCACTCTGAAAGTTGCAAAATAAGAAGTGATTTGAAAGATACTCCCGTAGTATGTGAACCAATATGGTGGGCACCGGAACGTAGTATGTGTACCAGATTAAGGTTAGGTTATAATTTTATTCAAATTTTCCTCATTTTAGTTCTATTACGAGTTCGGGGACTAGCCAAGTGCCTTCCGTAGTATTTTGAATTTGTATTTCAGATTGTCCTGGCTCAATTTATCACTTTCCTAACGACAACCAAACCACGGATTACGTTACAGTTAATATGATTCAAAATATCCCCGAGATTGAGGAATTATCAGTCTGTGCATGGTTGACTCCACTTCCAGGAAAGCGGCTTTCCGGAGCTGTATACAGTTATTTCATGAGTGAGAGCTTAAATGGAAACGGTTTTCTTATATTTTTCAACGATAACGCACCTTTTAACCTTGAAGTGTATGTGAATTATGAGAAACGCGAGACTTTACCAACATTTGGGAATATCTTTTTTTATAAATCTCATATATGTTTACTTGTATCCACTAAAAACAATGATGTGAGTTTGTATGTAAATGGCAGCTTTGTGAAGACAGAAGGATTTAGTGTTGATAAAAAACCTATTCGTGGAAACGGGAAAGTCATACTGGGGCAGGAACAAGACCAAGACGAAGGAGGGTTTCAAGCAAGTCAAGCTTTTTCTGGGACGATAAAAAACCTTATTGTTTGGGATCATAAAATAAGCAAGAAAAAAATTGAACATTTATACAAAACTCAATGTATTTGCCCACAGGATTACGTCATGGCTCCAACTCAGAATGCTGTAAAAATTCATGGCAATGTTGAGGCGAATTATATAACTCAATGTTAATACTTTTTGAAAGACTGCAATCATTTTTGACGTATTTGAATATCACTTTCTTTCACAAAATTGGACATAGAAATGTGTAGGCTACACTATGCACAAATGTTCATCGAAAATTCCATACAGCAAACTAACTAGCCTTTCTGGCAATTCAACAAAATTGATATTTTATTTTGGACGCATAAAATAAAGTTAATAAATAATATGTGGCGGAAATGACATGTTTCTAAAAAAATTTTGTTTAAAGTTTATTAAAAAAATTTCAAACTTTTTTTGTAGTTTTGAGTTGTCTTTTATCTATTTACGACCTATTTGTAAAATATTTGCCATTCATTCTTGCTGACTCCAAATAAAGTTTAAGTAGACCAGTATACGTGGAAATAACTTATGCTTGCATTCGTGTCCTACTCGACCGGATAATGAAAATTTAAAGCAGTATAACATTAGATGGTAATATTACTTTCAAATATTCACGGTATGCATTTGACTTGTATAGTTTGAAAGTTTCATGTAAACAAGAAAATCTATATCCCGCTATCTATATCCAAAATGATATAAAAAAATGTACCACATAAAATCGTAATACTTGAAGTTTTATCGAAACTTGTCAACTGATGTCCTGCTGAGAATGTGATCATAAATCTTTCGATATTTGTTATCTTACGCAGTTTGCGACGCAATACGTCTCAACTATACGTACCAACATCTCCGTGACGCCAGTCATGTGATCGCTATTGCGTAGTACGTAATCAGTTCGTCATGGCCGCTTATCGAACTCAATCATCCGACACAAGAATGCAGAATTACATATTTCGCTGTAATTTTGGTTATACAATAACCATGGAGGTAATTCAAGTATCAGCTAAAAGCATATAATACGCTCTATCGGATTGGTAATATTATATTTCTCAGCAAAATACGAGAATTGGGATCATAACTTACTTACAAGCAGAAATAAAATGTTTAGACTAAAATCAAATTCTCACATTTTGACAAAGTTTATTTCAAAATATAACATTTTATCTCACTGCACAATAAAATTTTGTCTGCTTTCGTTTGAGATATCCGTCAATTAATTAAACATAATTGCTAAAAAGTTATAAACGTTGAAAATAACCAATATTTTGAAGAATTTTATTGTCCTACCGACACTGCGCCGCGAACCTTTAAGGGTGAGATAGTAACTTCGCTCAGAGACGTCAGGGTTCAAAGTCAAATTCACATAATTAATCCGATCAAATTGTTTTGATGAATGTATTCTCGGTATTAAAAAAATATTAAATATTTAAAATGAATAGCCAAACAATCCCAAAACGTTCAGATCAAGTTTAAGAGAGAAAAACCGAATATCATTCAAGATAATTTGTGTTGATCTCCATGGTCTATGGTTATTTCATGAAGTATTACTTATAAAAGTTGAGGTAGACGTCATTTATATGTAAAAACTAAAAGCATCACCGATGCTTGAAAAGTAAATATGAGCACAGCAAGCTTATACGAATAATATTTGAACAAAGTCGGAGACGTGACAACTGTATATTGACTTGAAGAATATATCTGTAACCTGTAATGCAAACATGGTCCGTTTTATCAATTATTATCCTTCATGAAAGGGAATTTACCATATAAATCCAAGGCTCTCCAGAAGTATGTGTACCAATATGGAGGTAACTAATTTTTTTCGCCTACTTCACATCAAGCTGTGTAAATGGACGGAAACCTATGGACAGGGGGTATATTCACTTTGCTAACACAGACTGTACCCGAACTCGTAATAGACCTAAATGAAGTAAATCGCAAAAAATTCATGGCCTCACCCTAACCTGGTACACACACTATGGGAGTACCAAATCCAGGACATTTTAAAAGTCGATTCATAATATAAAAACATAATTCCATTACCCTAATAACGGACATGTTCAGTTTATGTTATCTAAAACAAACACGTATAGCAGACAACATATCTTCTGAAGTGTTGAATCGTAATATACGGTGTGATCTATTATGAAACATATTTGTGCTGATAAAGTTACTTATTAAAAATCAAATAAGTAAGGTGATTGCTGACGTGGAAAATGAAAAAAGAGAACTTTTCCAGTACCAGGTATCAGTAGTCTACTGTGACAGCCTGTATTAATTCGTTTCGAATATCGTGTAATTATATTTGAGTATCGTTTTCCTATTAAATAAAATATAGGGCTCTTCAGAAGTATGTGCACCAATATGGAGGTAACTAATTTTATTCGCCTATTTTACATCAAGTTGTGTAAAGGGACGGAAACCTATGGGCAGGAGGATATTCACATGGCTAACACATACACTCGCCGATCTCGTAATAGAACTAAAATAAGAAAAACCGGAATAAAATCATGGACGCAATACTACAAGGAAGTATTGAATGAAGTAATGAGGCGGCTGGTGGTTCGCTGTAGAGCGCATAAGCTGTAGGCCATAGGCGTTGTGTATAGGAACATTTTTTGTCAAGTGCACAGTAAATTATGACAGAATAAATTGCAGGGATTCGAATTGTTTGAAGTAATTTACACTCTGGTAAATTTCAACTGAACTCGCTATAGCGTTTCGTACTAAAATATTTTGTCATGGAGTTAGTGAAATGTAATTTGGGCACGTTTCTATACATACAAATTTAATCAGGGCATGGTATAAATAGGACACTGGAGTATATATATAGTGAGAAAAATTATCACAGAGTGAAATCTAATCTAAAAACACGATAGAATATATAATAGAAGTAATTTGACAAACACGAGGACTATTCTAAATAACGCTTTATTCACAGAAGTTTATCATTTATCAAATTTTCCCCTTTGTTTATGTGTCGCGACTCGTGAATTATTCTTTTCCTCTAGTGCAAGGGGTCTAACCAAGAGCCGCATTTCGTACTTTTTTACCGGGAAGACAGACAGAAATTACAACAGAACAACAGACAACAGAAATTTACAAGCTATTTATTTTTATGCATGCTACTTAGTGGTTCTTCTGTCATTCCTTGGATTAAACGTCTTTTCGACGTAAAAGAAAAATGCACGATGAATCATAATATGTTTATTTGGAACATGATGAATCGTAGTTTGCGGGTAATTTTTTCGTTGAAATATCCAAGGCTAGAAGAGCCGCATGAGACCGGAGCAAGAGCCGCATGCGGCTCGCGAGCCGCGGGTTGGCCACCCCTGCTCTAGTGCGTCCAAATAGCTGAATCAATTATCTGGCCAAGTTGTTATTTTAATCGCCAAACCAGGTCGATATGAGAGATAGTTACTTTCCCAATGCGACGTCTTGAATAATTACAAGAGCCATAAACAACTAGAGGAAGTCACCCAGCCCGGGACGGCAGCACACAGAAAGCGTTATCACGATGCGCCAGTCGTCGAGCTGTCTAGTCTAGAAAACTCCTCATAATTTTGTATATTTTAGTAATTGATAACATAAAATGAGTTTGTGAGACGAAAAATATTATATAATAATTTATTATAACCCAACGGATTTTTTCACCTTTTGTTACATATCTTAAATCTGAGTCATTTATTTTTAGAACGTTAGATGAGTCTTTGACTATAGTCAAAACAACTAAGGGGTTATTTGCCCTGAACACTGAACACAGATCTGCATAATGAATTCCACCACGATTTTCATTTTGTCATTACTTGTGACAGAAGCTATTGTAAGTTGAGCAGAACCTAACGCTTATTTTAACATAATCGTTGATAAAACTATAGCTCACTAGGATGCTTTTGTTTATAATTAATTATTGACTATTCAATATTTTCTATTATTTTTGACATTTTATTTTTGTAATATACGAGTTATTCTCTTTTACTTTTTAGTGAATTCGAGTTGACCTGACTTGGTTTAACACGCAATTTAACTACGGTCCTCGCAAAATAAAATATAACTCATTTTATTTATCTTTCCAGGGGAAAAGTGGGTTTGAAGATTACTCGCAAATAATTGCAGACATTGTTCAAGTCATGTTCTCACATGTCCAGGTATTAAAAATAGTATCAATATTTCAATATCTTGTTCAATATTTGTATTATTGCTGTTGACACAAAGACAAAACGAAACTGATCAAAATTACATGAGGAATGTATTACAGGAAGAAAACGAAACAGAACCATTTGTTTTGACAGTTATTGAGGCGCTTCAAAAACAACGTCCAAATAGTTGTTGCTTTCAAAAAGAATTTGGGTCTTCACGTTTAATCTTACACTTAATGTAGATATATAAGACCTTTTACAGGTTTCAGTAAGTTTTCTGATGCTTTTTGCACGTTTTAGGTTAATATGTGACAAATAGTGATCAATGTCTTTGGAAGGTAAAAGTGTTTGTTTTGTATCGCACTGTTCACCTATTCATAGCACTATTGTGGCCCGCGAACAATACAAACAGTACCATTTGTTTTGTAAATTATTGGAACGCTTTAAAAACAATCATCCAAATAGTTGCTTTCCAAAAAAATTTGTTGGGTCTTCAAGTTCAGCAAAAGTTATATGCAAACTTCAGAATGTTACATTCCTTCATAGAGAAACAATATTAAACAATTCAGTTACATAACAAAATTTTTCTTTTAGATAAATCATGCTGATGCATCATTCACAATAACGGATGTTAAAAAAGTTCTGAGATCAATTTGACGAGGTAACAAAATACTAAATTTTGGCATCTCGGATATTGTCGTTCAGCAATAAATATGAGTTGATAAATTCATAAAAATTATGTATTTTTTTTTTTTATTTGCTTTCAATGACATCCATTTTGATTTATTTTTAGTTTTAATTGGGTTTGAATTTAAAAGACAATCAAAAACAAAAAATTTAAAATTCTGCCTTTTTCAAAATATAATTCAATTTTTGAGTCAATTTAATAAACTTGCCCGTTTTAAAAAATGTACCGAATTCCTAGCTGGGTTGTATTGTGTGCAAGCATCTCCTCAAAAATAATGTGAATGCGGCCTAATTCTACGTTGTAATTGTTTGCACCAAAACTGCTGAGAGAATAAATATTGTTAAGGGTGAAAATCTTTTGAACTTGTCCGATTCATCCATTCAAAAACTATATAATGCTTACTAAGTTAACCAACCTATTTAAACATGCTAACGGCGTTACTTTTCAGAATAGGTTTGGCCAAGCCGACGAGGAATATATCATAAACGAAATCTTTCGGCGATTAAATGAGGTAACGAATACAAATACTGAACAATAGTTGATTTTTTATAAGCAAAAATGGCTAAGATTATAGCATAGTATCGTTTAGACTGTTTCATAGTTGATGATGCTTAAATAATTTTTTTTTACATCCATTAAGATAAGTTTCGAGTTTCAGTATAAGCAATCAGTGTCGACTAATACAAATTAATATAACTGCGTGCTTGTTGAATAAAAATGTTTATTTAGTTTTACCCCAACTTTTATAAATATTTATTTTCAAAGATGACTAATAACAGCGAATGTTAATTTATGTGTTCAGGACCAACGTAACCGAGGAAGGAACGGAGGCAAGGTGAATGCAGAGTTTAAATGAGTTTTAGTTCGAAGGGCGTTTTGCGCTTTGAATATTTTTACACTATATCCAAAACAATATAATTACAATATTCAAACTTATGAATCTTATTATGATGTTAGTCCGGATGTAATATATTTGTCCAATGGAAGTAGCCCAAATTGTTTTCTTGGGAGATTTTTAGGTAGTACATATCTTCTATTATATAGTAACTAATGGATGATGTGTTGATGGATGGATATGAATAGGTATTTACCAATATAAGTAGACAAACTATACCAGTGGTTTTTAAACTTTTTGAGCCGCGCGCCCCTTTGAATAATTTCACAAGCTTCGCGCCCCCCCCCCTTTTTTTTTGCGTTTCTGAAACACTGCTTTTGTGATGGGCAGGTTGCTTCATATTGAGTTGGCGCTGTAAGAGTGTTGGTCGCACAGCGTCATTGCTCAAATTGCTTAGGCATAAAACGCATCGGAGTACAACTTCGTCATTCACTGTCGTATGTATAAAGCCATACTCAAATAGTGGTCATCATACATTCTCCTTTTCCCGCTCAGTTTGCAATATCTGATAGAGTCAAACTAAAGTTGCTAATGACGTTTGTGATTGCATTTTGTTTAATTGTCCGATTGTTTTCGTCATATTTAAGTCGTAATTTTTTTTATTTAGATGTTTATTCTCCTTAAATTCGAAATTTCCCCCAAATAAGTTTTGTACCGCAAAGACGATGTTAAGTACTCTTTTCGTTCTTCCAAGGAAACATGATACTTGTGAGAAAAACGAGTTAATTTTTTTTATATAATCATCAGCGTCTAGATGCTAACGATAGAATAAAAAAGTAGATCCGCAACCAAAAGCTTCTTGATTGAAAAAGAAGCATTATAAAATACTAAAATTAAATGGAAAACATCATGAGTTTTGTTTTAGGATGGACCGCAACAGAATAAAAATACTTTCTTAGACATTGCAAATCTCAGGAATACCTTGTGCCTGTAGCACGCCTGTAGATTTCTAAAACTACCGACTTGAAATAAATTTTACTTTGTGGGACAGCTAATATTGGTCTAATTTGCAATAATACAAATCAAAACAAAGTGTAATCTGGCACATTTTTATGCTGTTTTAACGAGTGGTGTAATCTCGACAACTGCATGACTTAGGGGTCGTATCGCATGGATTTCGGGGCGATGAATATGTATTTTTGAATTACTAATATATGTTATACGTATTTTCATTGTACTAAATTAAATATATACTTTCTGGAATTTTACACCAGATCTTTCTAAAGAGGAAAACGAAATCGCATGAGCGCAATATATATTAAAACAAAATATAATTGGGCAGTTGATCTCGCATTAATATGTCCACGGAATGGTGTGGATTATAGAACGGTAATGATTTATTTTATCGTGAGTCGTCGCAACCTCGAGTTATCTTGAACACAAATGCATTAAAATAAAGGAACATTTCGAATTCTTGTAGTTGTCATAGATTGAATATCATAGATTGAATATTACGAGACAGAAAAATTTAGTATTCCGCGAAAAAGCCGTCATTTTCAACGAAACCGTTGCATGAAAATTTCCTATTCCCTTTTGTGACCTCTCGCGCCACCCAAGGGGGGCGCGCCCCCCAGTTTAAGAACCACTGCACCATATGACGTTACAACGTTAAAATATTCTCGGCATGTATAAGTTAGAAACATTCCAAGATAATAATTTATCCCGTTTCATCTTAATGAAGTCTAAACGGGTTCCCTTTTTACAAATATTTAAAATCATAGTGTTTGCATTATTTTTAACACAACGATAGCACTTGCCTCATCACGCTCTAGCACAGTGTCAAAATATATATATATGTATGTGAAGGGGTTTTTCAATACCTTGGAATATTGTAAAGTTTTAAAATGGGTAATTAGTAAAATAATATATTTGTCACGCTTAAAAAACTTCCAAACTTTTATTCTACAGCGCTATACAAAAATCATAGCATCTTCAACCGTTGCAGTAATAGGAGCTATACTAGCTGGAGCAGTTTTTAATCCAGTAGGAATACCGTTCCTTGCTGGTGTCGGAACCTATTTTGGTGCAGGCGCCCTTTTCGTCAATACAATTCAATGTGAAGACTGAAATTGGAATCAAAAAGACCGTTATTCAATTTAAGATGGGTCGACATAATCGTAAACGGAACTTATATATATTCAACGTATTTTTATTTCTGTGTGTTCAACATACTGCTATATGGTAATTTCTCTCAGCACCGTTTGTTCTGCCTATTATTGAGGCGCATTAAAAGCAACCACCCATTTAGTTGTTACTCTCAAAAAAGTTGTTTGGTTAGCTAAGGTTCAATAACGCTTCGAACGAAATTTCACAGACCAAAAGATTAAAAAATTCTTCAGGCACATATCAGGACGTTTTTTTCATTTTTATTTTGCCTCTTATACAGGTTTTGTACAATTTTTGCTTTGATAAATTTTGTATCAACTTTTTGTATCAACGTGACAATGGCTTAAACACAAATTGAAATAACAGTAGGTTTGCGACCAGGATGAATTTGCAAACCTATAACTCAGCGTACTGCAATAACAGCTTACCGAAGCCATTAGTTCATTTGAGCTCTGCTCATCTTGTGACAAGCATTCCTGTGTTAGAATATTGGGTACTCCCGAAGTATGTAGACCGAGATTGCAGGCACCGGAACGTAGCATGTGTACCAGGTTAGGGTTAGGCCAGTGTCCGCCATTTTATTTCACATACTTCGGGAGTACCGACTATTGCGGTTAATGATTAAAACATGTTCACTAAAACTGGCTTCTCCTGTATATAAAGTATCGTATCTAGACGAAATTCAGTTTGATTTATTTATTTACGTGCAGGGTAGCACTAATTTTTGTTATAATTTACGAGAAAATAGCGACTTTTAAAAAATTCGTAAAATTTTCAAATGACCGGGGCCAATGACCAATTTTCCCCCCGCTGTCGTGACAACGGTCATGAATCCGCACTTTTGGTAAAACGCACATTACTCGGATGATAGAATAATCCATGTGAAAAATTACATCGAGAATAGGTCATGTCCTCTAGTTTATACGCTACAGCTAGACACACAGAAAGAGTAGGAATAGCGGGCTCCCTTTAGCGAAGATTCAATGCACCTAGGCTACTATTACATCCACAGTGTTTAAACTAACTCTTCTATATGGCCAAAACCTATATTACAAATGACCACTTTGGAGTCTTATCAAAATTACGTGAAATCTAGAATTCACCAAACCATTGTTATAATTCCTTTAACGAGATGTTCGACAGGGGTAACTTTTAATATCAGCATGGTGACACTGTTCTCGAGTGCTTCCACCGAAACTAATAATAAAAGACATAGACTATAGAGGATAATATCACGAGGTAAATGTTTTCCCGATTTCCAAAATATGTAAGAAAAATACAGCGTAATTCGAAGTCCTAAAAGCCCTGATGTTCAGAAATGTTCATTACATAATCTCATTTATGCAACTTTTTCCCAATACTATTATTGCATTTTGTCACATTGCAACAATTGAAAAAGAAAACACTCACATAATATATTGAAAATGATCAAACCTACATGAAATACAATATTACCTAAAATGTTATAATCAAGATTTCAAATAGAAGTAAAAGCAGTGGCTGCCACTTAAGCGAGAGGTCTACCGCACTTTAGCGAGTAATATTATTACGTTATTGTAACAATTGAAAAATAAAAATTGGTATATTATTTAAAACGATTAAACCTACATCAAAACTTTAATTCATAGAATGTTATTATCGAGATTAAAAATAGAGGCAAAAACAGTATTTCAGCGTGAGATATACCTCCCGTCAGGACTTCAGCGGGAGGCCTATTGCTGTATTGTTTCATGTGGCACCTGGGTGAACTGCATATGGCGGTAGACCTCACGCTAAAGTAGTGCCAAACAATGATCATCCAACCTTACGATAAAAACGTGATTAAATAAGTTGGATACGAACTAGCTTCACGAAAAACAACAAATATATTAGGGTCATTCATGTTATCAACAACGCTGTCATAACGCAAGTTTCCTTCAACAGGTTCTTCGCGTAAATTTTTGCTTCCTTTGGTGTATTTTCCAACTATAACCTCTGCACAAAACATCGATCGTTCTCTGCTATTACCGGTGTAGTGCAATGAATAGGATGATTGCCGTGCAAAGTAAATTCCTTTGCCAAACGCATGTCCTGTTACACAAATCAAATATAAATGTGAATCACTATAACTGACATATACTTAACCAGTGGTTTTCAACCGGCGTTCTGCTGAATACTCAGAGTTCCGTTAGTAGGCTACAGAGTTTCCACAAGTTTTCATTTTAAATCGAGAGCACATATAATTATATGTATACTGTGTAAACATAATCAAATACCTATTGCGTTTGCCGCTGTAGTTGAACTTGCTGCACTTTACATATCAAGTTGTTGTGATAGTATTAGGTTTGCTTAGTATTAGTTTACCCAATGCATAGGGATTGTTTGGCCGTCTGGAAAGTTATATTAGGGTTCCACGGCACCAGAAAATAGGAAAACTACAAATCTATCTGAACCTTTGTATCCCTGTTGACATGAGAACAATGGAACAATACAAATGTACTACCGTGTTTCCTCACGAATACGACATGGTTTTATTTCAATTTTCTTTCGAAAAACAACACTAGGGCTTAATTTGAAGGGATGTTTTTGTTTTCGTTTATCAAAAACAAAAGTAGAGAATAAAAAGAATTTCAAATACACAAAATATGAAAATCGATATTCAATCGCAGACCCGCTCGCGATCACAGAATATAAAACCCATACATAGAGCAATGAAGAATTTTACCCCTGAAAATTTAATTTAATTTTTTTTATCAGTGGGTATTAAAACTAAAATAGGACATACCATTATCTCCTGCAAAATTCACGACAAATCCCGATGAACAAATGCTTTCAACGTGATGGCTTTTGGTTCCATGAAAAAGGAATTCTGTAACTTCTTCGCCGTTGTATTTTTCCATCACGTAACTCTTTCTGTTTTCGAATTGGTTGAAAATCATTGGATTTTGTATTTTTTCAATCTAAATATAAGAATATTATTAGGTTACTGGGCAGGTACTTATCTGCAAGTATAAAATTAAATGAAAATTTAAGTCAATTGTGCTAAGGATTTAGAATACGCTCGACAATGCATCCCTGATTACCCTGTGTTAATTCTTTGGTTCAAATTCCGTGGGGATAATTGCTTGACTCCTTGCCGCCGTGAGGTGGTTCATGAAACCGCTAATCGGTTACGGTTAACTTCCACCATCAAGTTTCAAGTTTATGCATCAGAAACGAATATCTGGCTGACTAATCCCAAACCCGACATTGAATGGTAACCGAAAGATTTGTCATATGATTAAGCCGTCTTATCGGCTTTCCTTTCCCCTGGGATAAACCTATAAATTATATCCTAACCTGTCGCAATTCTAACAGTCTTCCCTGTTATATGATTAATATATTACTTTCATTGGAAAGAGGGACATGTGAATGAGTTATGTGGGAACATGAGTAATTTTATTTTTAACAAAAAATTCACAAAAAACTCCCCGTTCTTCCTGGTTTCATTGCTTCACACGGGTATTTTACGTAGGGTTTTGATTTGTTGAGCAGGAATTGTTAGAACATAATGTGATTTGGATTCTACCAATCAAAACAACACTACAAATATCATGTAATCATAAACAGGGGCCATAAGTGCGAAGATATATGGGAAATATACCCTTATTTTCATTCTACCCTCATTCAAAGTGATTTAAAAAAAGATTTTTGGGATTGATCAAGTTTACAATTATGTTTCATTATAAACGATTTATTTAATCTTAAAATGCAAAATTCAAATTTCAGATTTAGACATAAGGTTTACTTTTAAATTTGAAAATTTCTGAAAAAACTATAATTTTATTTACAGTTTACTCTCGAGAGCCCATCATTTCTAAAATTTAATTGACCACTTTTGAAATTATTTTTTCAAAAAGACTAGAAACACTTATTACTTAAATTAAAATTGATGTTTGTAATGTAATATTAATTGAATAAAGGTAATTGTAAAAGGTAATTTATTAAAATCAAAAATTTATCTATATGAAAAAATGAATTAACCTTTAATACTCTGCAATGCGGTAGTCCATTTTGTTGAAATGCTGCTAACACGTCATCATACTCTTGATGTCCATGAACAATTTGTCTTTTGTTGTACCCGGTGCCAAATGGTATGTTGATCCAGTCTGGTGGGAAATCTGCTGATTACAACAATAACATTTACCTTTACCCTTACATTTTTTGCTGCAATATTCCAGAAAAAAAGAGAATAATTTCAAATCAAATGTTTGCGCAACAAAGTTTTCGGGCCATGTTCACAACACGACGTATGTACTTTTAGTTGGCGTGGCACAACCATTTTGCATATGTTATTCCTGACTCTCACCTGACTACGTTATTATAAAATTACGTCACCGAAAATCGAACAAGCTATTTCTCTCGTTTTTTTCTGCGTAACGATCCCGATATGACAGAGATCGCTGGCGTTAGTGAGATTAGTTATCGTCGGTGAAGATGCCATTTCGGTCGTTCGTAGCTCTACTTTGGCAAGCTCTTTGTTGTGATTGGGAGTCGTAGTGACGTAATCTTTGGATGACGCAGCCAGATTAGAGTTAGAAATAACATATGCAAAAATTGTTGTGACACCTCAAATACATGTACTTGTATGCCAAGTTTTCAATATAGCATATAGAGTATAGCATACGAAAATGTATAATATTTAGAAAATGCCCTAAAAAAATCCCCATATCTATCTCACCTGCTGCAATTAAATTGTTTATTTCTTCAATATTTTCGACTTCATCTGCAAAAAGAAAATTAAAAACTTAGAAATTGGATCTTTGTTGAACATTATAATTATATATTCACTTTATTTTGAAATGAGCATGTATGCCTTATAAAATAAAATATAGCACGAATACACTGCCGACGTCACAATAACAAAACAAAGCCCGACTGCGGTCTCCTTTTTATACAATACTGCAGATTTTATTCGAATAAAGATTCATCATAAAATGGGAGAAATATAATATGAGAATACTTTAAAACTACATTTTATTTTTTGATCAAATCATCATTGCCATCGAGTTTAAATTTGCATTTGAAGTCACGATACAATTAGTTTTAGCCACATCCCGCACAAGCTTGATATACAAGCTACATGTCGTTTATTAGTTACTTGGCTAAATTTTATTTTTAAAATAAAATATACAACTACTATGGCTTGATGTCAAAATTGTGCAATTCGTAACTCCCAGAATTCTCTGCATTTTGCGTGTAATTAGCACGCTTCTCCATGGGATATATTTTTCATTTCCATCACAAATTATGCCTGTTGCATCCCCTCCCATGAGACGCTTGGTAATGAAAATCCCATGGATAGGCTTGATAACTAATGTTAACGAAAATTTGCATTTATTCATTCAGTACTCCATTACAAAATAAATAATTTCTATCAAAAGTCCTGTAAATTGAAAACTAATAATAGCAATATTATTGATACCAACGGTAAATAAAATGTGATACTCATTAATTTCTATGGAAATGGCATCCCAAAATTGTCAAGCCTAGACTAGTAAGCATTTACCGAAATTGTGTCTGTTCTTCACGTCCTCATTAATATCAACGTGGTTTGCAATATCTCTTCCTGCAAGACAAAGAAAAACATCAGCAATGTTGTTTATGTTATAAAACAATAAAAACCAAATGAGTATTTAACTCTGGCTACTGATATTACATGATTGCACAGTGGGTTGCTTTACCCAGGCTTCAGTATAATAATGGAGATACACCTCGTTCAAAAATTGAGAATATTTACAATGCAAAATGAAATAATTGGCGCTGCAGAAGAGTGTGTACCAATATGGTGGTAATTAATTTTATTCGCCTATTTTGCATCATGTTGTGTGAACCTATGTTCAGGGGGTGTATTCACTTGGCTTACACATGCAGTCCCCGAACTCGTAATACACCTGAAGTAATGAAAATCGGAAAAAATTATGTTATAACTCTAACCTGGTAAACATACTACGGGAGTACCAAATAATAAAATGGTAGCGAGAAAAAACACGCTGGATATGTGAACACTAGACATTTAATTGACAAACGTCTATTTGAAAAACCTAATGCTCGCCAACTCAACCAGGCTTCATTAAATTGAGATTTCACCAACAATATTTCAATTTGTTGAAAAACATAACATATTTTCAGGCAATCTTTAAAATACATAACAAAAAAATTGAATCCGAATTTTTTTTCTGCAATTTTAATCCAATTTATATTACACTAAATACTCCAACGGAAAATCACTTCAATAGGATCTTTTATTTCAAACTTTGAAAAAACAGATACCAATTTATCAATAAAATATAATGGGAGTTTAATGTATTTTAAAAATGTTTCAAACTCACCTATCCATCTCCAACATTCCCATAAAATTGTAACAAATATTCCAAATAGAGCAGCAAGAAATGCTGCAAGAATTGTGAATACTATTTTCCGCTCGTATTCACGAGCTCGGTTACCTGCTAAAATGTCTCTCACAGTTTTAAAAACTGTTTGACATTTTAAAACAATAGTAGTATTAATTGAATCGTTTTATGTTAAAAACCAACAAGAATTTTAATTTATTTAATCTTTATCATTCGTAAAGCTCAGTTCCAAAAACAGACTATGTTCGCTTCAAGATTGTGGAATGATGTAACCAGATCCATATTTTAAAATAACAAGAGTGTTGTGTTGAATATCATTATAACACAAATTGACAAAAATTGGAATTTATTAGATTAATATAGAAATTCTGAATCTGTTTTTCTTTTTAATATATCGATTGATGTTCGGCCAAGTTTTATAACTTGATTATCAAAGAATTCTCGAATCTGTTAGTGATACAATCGCAACAAGAGAGCGATGCTCGAACATTTGGATACGAAGGCCAAAACGAAGCAGTAGGTCTATGGTTATGCAATCTGTAACATCAGACTACCGGTACCGTACCGCAACCGACCACCCGATATCAACTACGGCGAGAACGCATTTTTCAATTAAATAAAACTTATAGCCTTTTAGCGAAAAATGCAATCTTTAGCCACTGAAAATTTCAAAGCAATTGATCCGGTAGTTAACTATAAAATCGTTTTTTTTACGTAACAATAACAATGTCTAACAACAACAATAACAACAACAACATAATAATAATAACAAAACGATCCATAAGTTCACTTTGTTTCTGTGTCTTATAAATCAAAAATATCAACATTCTCAAGATTATTTTTAGATGTGATGAAAACCATCACCTGATATGCAGAAACCAAGTTGACAATTCGATACACGAATTAGTGTATTAGCAAATTTGTTGAATATCGTTTGGGAATATCATTATGTCCGGACCCATAACTATAATCAGAGTAAATCCAGGAGTCTGTATTTACTGTGCAAATATGGCGAGTGATATTCACACTAGCAAACAGCATAAGCCTGTTGTTTAAACTCTGATTTAAAAAGCTATGTTCACTTTTATTCGGAGGCTATAAGTGACAATTTATTAACTCTCGTGTTTAACGAAAGGCAACGTTTTTTCAATTGCTTGATAACCAATAAAAATATATTTTGCAAATTGAAGATTGTTTACCTCCTCTAGCCGCTTTTGTTACTTCACTCGACTCTTGCGGGCAACACGAAGCTACATAAATACCCGAACAACAGATATCCACATCACATGATGATTCGGTGCAGCGATTAATATCTTGATAGATTGGAAATGGGTTGATAAACGTAATTTCTCAAGAAAACTCTCAAATCATTTAGCATATATCATGAATAAAAAACTTGTTTTGCTGATATACTTTCGAAGCAATAAGGATATTATAAATAGGAAAAAATAAACATAAATATACACTATTCTAAGCATCATTTAATGGGTAAAGTAATTGAAATATAAATTCTAAATACTCACTTGAATTCGCATGTTGAAAAAGTGAAAGCAAAATATAAATGCTCATGGTTTTAGCGTTTATCATTGTCCGTACTGGTAAGGTATATTGAAACATGGCAACTCATCGACGAATACTGTCCGTTATGAAATCTTGTGTTACCTATTCTAAACAATATACTAAATCAATGTATAATTACGCCTCAACATTTTTTTGAAGATATTTCGTACGTGGATGAAACGCCTGAATATAGTAACAGATCTGGTATTAAACTTTTCTGGCCCTATATTGCTTTAGTAACGAATGTCCTTAAAGGATAGCCATAACATTGAAAACATAAGTTTGAATTAAACATAAACCAAAAACATAAGTGTTTCTAATTGACTAAAAAACCGCCTTCCATTCTGTGTTCTGACCACTGCGAAAGTATTCTCAGTTTACATTGTGATGTGTTGGGCAAACATATCGTTCATATGTTACTCAGACCTTGTTATTTATCTTATGTATCACTATGCATACACTGAATACTATTACCATAGTATGCTAATATACTATTTACTTATTTAAATGGGAACTGTAAAATTAATTACCGTGCAACGCTGTTAATACTTATTGTAATATATCTTAATCTGTAATATATTAACATTGAACTAAATTTTGAAAAATTCACTGTACACATTATTAAATTCGAAATTCTTCGAACTTATCAATATTCAGAAACACTTGTGCGTTCCCAAAGTATCCTACACCTCCCCACAATCTACAAAATGTTATCACATTTGTCTATTTTTCGCCTAAGAAATCGTAGTTCCAGTATTTTTAATTAATTAATCTCAGAGTCTTCCACGCGGTTTTTATTTGATGCCGTGCGTTACCATAGTTCCCCATTTTTTAACGCTTGACCAAATCCACAGATGCCATCATACTGACGCTAATATGAAAGCATACAGTTGCATTTACTGTAGTGGTATTACGGTCATTAATTGTAAATTACGAGACGTATTTCATAATCATCATATATTGGATTGTTGGAAATAGTCTTGGGTTGCCTCGCCGCAGATGTGTCATGCTCGGTCATTGAATATCAAAGTCGTTTTCTCCCTTACCAGATTTATATACACAACAATCTAACAAAATCGCATGGAAGGTTTTTTGAAGCCCAGCGCAAAATTGGATCCTTCTTGCAAAGCGTTTATGTCGCTAGCATTACAAAATTTTTTAAATTTTCCGACAGTTCTCATCGTCCACTAGAACCACCATCCACTGGTACAAAAGGGTGTCCTCCCGAAGTATTCGTACCAAGATGGCGCACATCCGGAACATGATATGTGTACCAGGTTAGGGCTGTTCAGGCTGTGCGTCATCTTGGTACGAATATCTCCGAGCGTCCAAAAGGGTGCCATGGTTTCGCAAGAACATGCATAATACTTTCACACTGAGATTGATGGTACGTGTAAGATTTGAACCGAGGTCTTTTGTCGCGAAACGTAGGGGTAGGTGGGGCACGTTGGGACATGGGGCACAGTGAAAAATCAGCTCTCGCACTGATACTATATCTGCAATCCTGTCCGCGGTTCGATGTTTCAATCCGCCCTTCGGTGAGTTACAACGTCCCCGCGAACACACAACGGACGGGTAGAGCGCCGCAAGCTATGAGGTGAAATTGGTTTTGGGAGGTTGAAACTAAAATTTCACCGTTCCAATTTTTCTTTTTTCTACTTTAGCCTTCCCAACATGACAAACCGCACCGTTTGATATTTTGTTGGCGAGTGGCGAGTGGATGTGCCTTCCGAATTTTGCCGTGGGATGGTTTGAAAATATTTGTTTCCTATGGGGAACAATGGACCTGAGTTCAGTGGGACTTGCCCTACAGGGCACAATTCGACAGTGTTTGATACAATAAGTGCTTAGAGACCTAGAGATGCGTTAAGTTTTGTGTAATATCATGGTTTCTTTCGACCCATGGCCCAATATAGAATATATTCGAGAATCAATACTATTTCCAGATTTAGATTCGAGGAAGGAAATATTTAAATTTGTTTGCGAAATTTTTTGTTAAAATATTTGAACTATTTCAGTTGAACATTTATTTTAAAAATATTATATCTTCAAATTTGAAGTCTCCCTGTTCTGACCTAAAACCTGACCTGAAAAACAACTCAAAAATAGGATTGAAATGAAACAAAGTTTCATATACCTTCTAGGTCGCTATGGTAACGTTATTACATCCAAGTGACTAACTATAGAAAGGTTGGGACACTTTTTTTCTTTCGCATATTTTGAGCCGTTCATCCTGCATATTCACTTAAGTTTGCGGGACTAATGCATAGAGTAATGATGCATAATTTAGTTTTTATTCAGCGACTAAGAAATTCCCTTGCGACACACATCTTACTACCAAAATGCTTTGAAAAACGTCTGTCAAGTGTCCCACTGTGCCCAAATTGTGGGGCATATTCGGACAGACCCAGGGGCACAATGGGTCAGTCTGTCAAAATCAGTATGTTCCCCAGCTTTTCATTTTAGGGGGGGGGGGTGTGTTTTGCATAAGCATTAAAATAGGCTGCAGATTGATTTTAGATACACTTATCATCGCAGTTTGTTATGTAATAAAATTAATAATCATAATAGTTGGGTGATAGAATACCAGAGGAATAAATAACTAGCACGACTTTCAACAATAAATTTGCAAATGATAGTGACTAATGAGTTACTTGCGGAACTAGCATGTGGCTCCGTATAAATGGCTACTTGTGGCTTGTTTTGTTACATAAAAAACATCCCAAGTATAACTTAGTGTATGTGTAATTCGGATTGGCTCGAAATTCGATGTTCAAAACGTGGCTCCAATTCATTACATTGTCTTGTAAAAATAAAAAAGGAAACAATAAATTTCTCAATTCGGAAATGAAAAAAAGTTATTTAATTAATGGATATTTCAAGCTTTCAAAGCATATTTATATTTCCTACCTTCCATGGTCGGATGATGTATTTCTAACTTGATATATTATCATGGTATTTGGGCCCATTATATTCATGACTGTTAGGTCTTAAGTGGCTTTATTCCTAATTTCATTTTTTTTTTCAATTTTTTTCATTAGGTTTTTATACTTTGTTTTCATTATGCTTGAGATAAAAGCATTATTTACCATAACTTTAAACAAGCATGGTACGAATATCTCCGAGCGTCCAAAAGGGTGCCATGGTTTCGCAAGAGCATGCATAATACTTTCACACTGAGATTGATGGTACGTGTAAGATTTAAACCGAGGTCTTTTGTCGCGAAATGTAGGGGAAGGTGGGGCACGTTGGGACATGGGGCACAGTGAAAAATCAGCTCTCGCACTGATACTATATCCGCAATCCTGTCCGCGGTTCGATGTTTTAATCCGCCTTTCGGTGAGTTACAACGTCCCCGCGAACAGACAACGGACGGGTAGAGCGTCGCAAGCTATGAGGTGAAATTGGTTTTGGGAGGTTGAAACTAAAATTTCACCGTTCCAGTTTTTATTTTTTCTACTTTAGCCTTCCCAACATGACAAACCGCACCGTCTGATATTTTTCAGCTTTACTCCACTGTAAAATATTCATAACGTTGGCGAGTGGATGTGCCTTCCGAATTTTGCAGTGGGATGGTCTGAAGATATTTGTTTCCTATGGGGAACAATGGACCTGGGTTCAGTGGGACATGCCCTACATGGCACAATTCGACAGTGTTTGATACAATAAGTGCTTAGAGACATAGAGATGCGTCAAATTTTGTGTAATATCATGGTTTCTTTCGTCCCATGGCCCAATATAGAATATATTCGAGAATCATTAATATTTCCAGATTTAGATTCGAGGAAAGAAATAATTAAATTTGTTTGCGAAATTTTTTGTTAAAATATCTGAATTTTTTCACTTGAACATTTATTATAAAAATATTATATCTTCAAATTCGAAGTCTCCCTGTTCTGACCTGAAACCTGATCTGAGAAACAACTCAAAAATAGGATTGAATTGAAACAAAGTTTCATATACCTTCTAGGTCGCTATGGTAACGTTATTACATCCAAGTGACTAAATATAGAAAGGTTGGGACACATTTTTTCTTTCGCATATTTTGAGCCGTTCATCCTGCATATTCACTTAAGTTTGCGGGACTAATGCATAGCGTAATGATGCATAATGTAGTTTTTATTCAGCGACTAAGAAATTCCCTTGCGACACACATCTTACTACCAAAATGCTTCGAAAAACGTCTGTCAAGTGTCCCACTGTGCCCCAATTGTGGGGCATATTCGGACAGACTCAGGGGCACAATGGGTCAGTCTGTCAAAATCAGTTTACAATATTTCAAAATTACTGCGCTATGCAAATTTGCCAAAGGTAAAAGGCAAACGGCAGAACTCATGTTTCAAATAAAATTATTTACATGGCGTAGCTGGTAGTGATTAAATAACTTAGCTATTTGGAGACAAAGTTATGCTTGTGACCGAGATCCTGGCCGGTGATTCGTTTACCTAAAAATTTGCTCAAAGGGTTCGGAGCTTAGAAAAAGTATTTGCAATTAGGGGTATGAGAGTTGCAAATGAGTTGAATTATTGACAGGGAATTTAAGATTTGTATATAGTTTTAGCACTGGATTAGTAGTCCTGAGTTATATAATGGTTTTGAAAGCAATAGTGTTCTTATCGTCTCATGTATCCACATTTACAAGATTTCGTTTTTTAACAAGTTTATATGGTGTTTGGGCTTTCACAGATGTATTGAATGAAATAAGAATACTACTTAAATTACTATCAGTAGAGGTTGTGCGAGACTAATTCCCAATCCTTCCTCAATGCCTATGTTCTAGTGCAGGGGTTCTCAAACTTTTGGTGTTGCGGAGCCCTTGAAAAGTTGAATATTATTCGCGGAGCCCCAAAATAAATGTTAAAATTGTTACTTTCAGATTAATATTCCTGGTCAAGTTAAAAGTACTTTACTTATTTAAAACGCTGAACCTTTTTTAATAGGATTAACACAAGCCATAAATGAATCTGAATTTCATACCAAAGCTGTAAATTTGACACTTGACGAACATATTAATAAATTAGGGGTCGAATCTTTTCTCTTTTGACATTTTTGGAAGACTTAACAGGCCGCTAATAACGTGCGCGATTTTATTTTGTTACAATCGCCGATTTTTTTCGTTTCGTCAGCATGGCGTGTTTTAAACATCTTTACGCCGGTGTT